GTCTGCTCTTAGGGCTGATGAGAGAGGGGGAGTTGATTGGGGGAGGGGGAGGGATATGGGAGGCGGTGGTGGGGAAGAGACAGAAATCTTAAGTAAATAAATAAAATCATCAATACATATGCTAACTAAAATAATTAATAATAAAAATCACACAAGTTGAGCCAAACAGAAATTCTGGAGCTAAAAACCACAATGAATAAATTTAATTTTTTTACTATAAAAAATCCATGCACATAAAATAAAAAATAAGAAAGCAAAAAATTCTAACTTCCAGTTTTCTGTGCTGAAGATCTGTAAGTCTCCTCTCAGAGCTCACTACTTTGGGCTGGGGATGGCTCTGTGAGTAAAGTGATTGCCTTGTGTGCTTGCTTTTTTTTTTTTTTTTTTTTGCCATAATAAACCCTCTGACCAAAAGCAACTGGTGAGGAAAGAATTCATTTAGTCCATCATCAAGGGAAACTAAGGAGGGAACTCAAAGCAAAAGCTTGAGGCAGAAACCATGAAGAAATTCTGCCTACTGGCTGACTCTCAGCTTTCTTTGTATATAGCAGGCCTACCTGCCTAAGGATTGTACTGCCCACATAGTGCTTCCCCTTGCTTGCCAATCAACCAAGATCAGTCATCACACCTTCCAAGCACCAAGACCTGAGTTACACATTGCTTGTGTTGTGGTTTGAAGAAGAATGGTCCCCAAGGCTCATATATTTGAATGCTTAGTCATCAGGCAGTGACACTCTTTGAAAGGATTAAAACAATTAGGTGTGGCCTTATTGGAGAAAGTGGGCTTTAAGGTTTCAAAAAGCCTATTCCAGGCCCAGAGTCTCTTGCTCTGCACACTGATCATGACGTAGCTCACAGCTACTGCTCCAGGAGCCTGCCTGCATGCTGTCACAATCCCTGAAATGATGATGATGAACTAAACCTCTGAAACATAGACAAGCTCCCAATTAAATGCTTTCTTTCATAAGAGCTGCCTTGGTCATGGGGTCTCTTCACAACAATAGAACAGTGACTAAGACAGAAATTGGTGCCAGAGACTGGGGTATTGCTATGATAGGATTGACCAAGATGTCTGTGGGAAGAATATGGAAGATTTTGGGATTTTGGACTAGAAAAATGGTTGGATACTTTAGGTGGACTTAATGGTTTATCCCAGTGGGAGCATGGAAGACAGTGCTCAAGGTGATTTCAACTGTGAAAGCCCAGCTCAAAAAAAAAAGTTTCAGAAGTTAAGAGGCTTAGAGACCATTCTTATGATGTTTTGGCAAAGAATGAGGCTTCTTTTTGCCCTTGTCCTAAAAATCTGTCTGAAGCTAAATTGAAGAGTTTTGATTGATGGCCTTGGCAGAGGAGACTTCAAGACAGTCTGCACTGCTTTTCCAAGATGTGTTGTGTGGGTATTAACGACCAGTCTTAAACAGATCTATAATGAAAAAGAGCAAGCTGAGCAAGGAAAAAATACAAAATATATATAGTTTTGAGGAGTTAAGGAACACCAGGAAATGTCGTGTTGGAGATGAATCCAGTCCTCAAAGAGATAAAAAGTTTAAAGAAAAGCCTGCTGATAAATGGAATAAGGGAGTGGTGACCTCAGGGCAAGACCCCACCAACCTAAGCTTCCAACTTGTGAAAAGGAATCAAAGGAAATCTTAAGCAGTGAAGACACCATGAAAAACAGAAAGCTAATAAGACGTAACTGAAAAAGACAGCCAAGTTCCAGGCCCAGCAAAAAACAGCTTCAGCCACTTGGTTCTGGCTTTAGAGTCAAGAAAGAATATAAGAAATGGGGTGTGGAATCTCCTTCTACAGCTAAGGAAAGCTGCCGAAGCCAGGTGTGTGTCAGGGTGTCCCTTCATGGAGGCCCAGAAAGGCCACTTCATGAAGCTATGAAGGTGAAACCTGGACTGTATCGGAGACCCCAAGATGTTGGAGATACCAGAGTCATGACATACCTGCCAAGGGAGGCTTCAGACCAACAGAGAAAAGTATGTTACAGTAAACAAAGCAAAAAGAAGCTGGAGATCTGACGAACACTTTGACCTGAGACATGGAGATGCAGAGGTTAAAGTTTGCCCAGCTGGTTTTTGGTCTTGTTCTGATCCAGTATTTTCTCACTATCCTCCCCTTCTTCCTTTTTTGGAATGGTAATGTATATCCTGTGCCACTGTATATTAAAAGTATGTGATATGCTTTTTGATTTTGACTTTACAGGGGATTACAGCTAAGACTGCCATGAGTCTCAGAAGAGACTTGACTTTCAGGGGGTCTTGAGACTGTGAAAGACTTTGGGGACCTCTGAAGTTGTACTAAATGCATTTTGCATTATAGTATGGCTATTAGCGCCAGTTAGCCCCCTTTAAATGTTTAAAGCCCAAAAACCAACATTAAAAAAGTTACCCATGGTGGCATGTGCTTACAACCCCAGCACTAGAGGCAGAAGCAGGCAGATCACTGGAGTTCATTGGCTGGTCAGCTATGAAAAATCCTGTCTCAAAAGTAATGGCGGACAGCACTTGAGAGACAAGTGCTGTCCTCTGCACATATGCTTGCACTAACACACATGTGCATCTGCATACATAAACAAACACACACACACACACACACACACACACACACACACACCTCACAATTTCCCAAGTTTTCATTGAATAAATTTCAAAGTCACAACTCCACCCAGACCAACCTGGATACCACATAAAAAAACAGTCTCAGATAATTTATTCCAAATTTTAATATAAACAAGTAATTAGCCTGTATTGTACATGCAGAACAATTTCAGCCCCTCCCCTCCCCTCACAAAGAAGGCATATTCTGTACATGATGCTACTTGGCTCTTATAAGAAAACATCACTGTTTTGGGTGGGTTTTGAGTTTCTGAGTTTTCTACAGCACTGTGGCACATTTAATCCCACACTGCTGATATATGGGGTGTAGCTACCCAGGCACATAAAGGGGCAAGAAGCAGCAACTTTGATACAAAGGATAAGGACCAAACAAGCCATTCCTGGACATGTGCATGGACACACGGACACACACACACACATACACATTAGGGTCCTTCCTTCTCAAATGATAACATGGGTCCCAGGTTCATGATCTAGTTTTTAACAAGTTTTTGTTTTGTTTTGCTTTTTTAGTGGCTCACATATAGATAAAAAATTGACCAGAGACTGATTCTGAACCTTGATTGGCATCAAGTAAACGCAAATACTCACTGATCTCTATTTTTTGAGGACCACCTGAGGATAAATATGCCTTCAGTCATGGTCTCTTAAAAGTTTAAACAGCAAGGGATAACCATTTATTCCTATTTCACAACCTCATCTCTTGTGTAAATTCATATTCTGAGGAACATTCTGGAAGGTTTTTTAAAATGGCTCTACCCTATGTGTGTCATTTATACAAAATCAGCATTTTTCTTTTCCATGTTCAAAACAACTATAATTTTTGAAGATTATATGTTCTCATGAAGTCACCAGCCAGTATCCAGAACACATTCACCTATCAGGAACTAGAAAAACCTTTGGTAGAATGACAGCCACTCATTTGCTAAGATTGCCAGTATGAACTAGACTTGCACAGTGATACTGCTCACTGGCCAGTGTTATGGTGGACTTCAAATAAATTTATAGTCCTTGACCCCATAATTAATCACTCCGCAGGGTAGACTATCTGTCCTGGTAAGATAGTAAGGGTGACCTGTGCTTGTACTGGTGACATCACTCCCAACAGCCACAGAAATAAACATGCAGGTCTCCCTGCCCATCTCCACGTTCTCCCAAACTGTGCTCAGCCTAACTCCAGAAAACCATTAGTGCTCTTCCCTTCCAGATAGCTTCAAACGACAGGAAGCATCTAGAAGGGCTCCAGAACATGAACATTTCCTGGTGTGTGCTTGATATCATTGAACCAGAAAGAAAACATATCTGCTGTTATCCTGGAAGAAATGACTGTGTGGCTTTCACCATCATCACAAAAAGACTTTTAAAATGATGAGACATCTTCCAAAACACATAGCGAAGTGTCAATGTATCCTGGTTTTGTTTCTTTTGTTCCCCTCTCACCCATCACTACAAACTCTCGGGAGAGCCATGATTTTCTAGGTCCCAAGATTCTTTTCTTACACAGCTAACATCTTCTGAAGCCAAAATGAGTCTCATAACCCAAAAGCTACTTATTCCCTCCCCAGCAGCATTAGATATCAAAATAGAATTGGTGAAATCCTTTTTGATAGGGTCATCCCAAGTTGGTACACCTCTCCAGAGAAGATGGAGAAGAGTGAACTTTCAAGGGCTGTGCCCTAAGATGAAGTAAGAAATGGGAAGCCTGAAAACAGGGGCCATGCTGGCCCTGCCTTGACTTCCAGACTTCCCAAAACTGCACAAGGCCAAACAGTGTCAGCTTGAGGGCAACCAAATCCTAGCAGAGGGCTCCTGTTTTATTGCTCAAAATATATTCAAGAAACTGATGGGTTTTGGATTAGGATTTCCCCCAAATGCCCTCATACTGGCTGGTTGTATAGGAGGTGCCCTCAGACACCCAAAGCCTCACAGGTCTGAAAAGGGCTGAGAAATAACGGTCAGAGAACTCAAAGTGCCTTTGCATTCATGTCTGGGAGATTTCGTGCGACAGCTGTCGGTGGTAGTTTATTACCTCTCCCCGAAAGACCTGAACGTGAGGACCTCACAGAGAGGCTAAATCAAGACAGACTGCAGCGCGGCTGGTGTGAGGAGTGTGCATCAACAAAAAGCTGGATACGGTTACACTCAGAAGAATACCAGCGAAGAGAGGAATCCACGTTCACGGGAAGGTTCTACCTTCATTCCAACTCCCTCCCTCAAAGTTCTTCCTAGTCTGTGGCATTCGGAAATCAGCTGGTACACAGCTCCCCAACTCAGAGCACAATCCAGCCAGAATTCCAAAGCCTCGACGCCTGTGACTGAACCTCATCCTAACAAGACACTGAGGTAGACTGTGCTGAGAGAAATAAAAACATGACCCACACTCACCTGTTTTTATTTTTTCCTTGATAAAAAAAATTTACATGCACACCATTTTTTTTACAAAAGTGATTTTCAAGAGTGATTTTATATATTAAAATAAATACTTTCCCCAGTAATATAAGAAAACCTTTTGAATTAGAAAAATGTGGAAATTCTTGCTAGTGTAGCATCTGACCACTACAAATTTACTGTGAAAAGGAAAAAGAAACAACAAATATCAGACCTACCACTGATGCACAAACCCTCTAGTTACAAAGTGATTTGGGTGAAAATAACTGTGACTTTTTCTTCTTGTACCAACCACCGAGTTCCCTGGTAACATTTTTACATCTGTCACTTTTCTAATATAAATTTGACAGCAACTGGCAATCAGAATCTGTGTCTACTTGTGTTCTCAACCGAGAATTAGGAGGATTTTGGGGTGGACACTGTGTCTTTATCTCACATCTCGTAGAGGAGAAGAAAGGTATCAGATATTCGTGGGGAAACACAGGCAGGGAAGAACGTGTGGGAGGGTTCTGAGCCCCCGACCCATGAGTTCACCATGGTTGTTTGCTTCTTTTACTTGAGCAGCTGTAGTTTTATGCAAACAGAGGAAGCTGTGGGTTCACATCCTTTCAGGAGTTCTTGGTGGTGGCAACAAAGTCTCTGATGTCTTCTCCTCCAGACGGTAGTCTCTAGGGACTGAAACATTAGCACCTGAGAAAGAGACTCAGGCACCACACTTGCCCGAGCTGAGGTCCCTGGGAACCAAGAGCAGCTGTGGGAGTTTAGTGTGGAGAACAGCCGATGTCCCCCGGGGGAGGAGACCAACAGCTATCCCAAGGGGGCATCTCCTTATATTGCTTAGTGTTCTCAAAGTCCTCCTGTGTTGTTGGTCTTTGGGATGAGTTTGCTGTGTTTATACAATGACTGAGCAACAAGTAGGCCTTGAAGAGGTGAGGTACACGAGCAGAGAAAAACCCAAAGATGAACACAGGTGTTCTGGAAGGCCAGCTCAGCTCCAGGACCACCAGTGTATGCAAGCAAGAGACATCCAGTCCAACTTGCTAGAAGAATCAGTCAAAAATCCAGTTTCCCATATACTCCACAAGGCCTCACAGTGTCCTAAGGGGCTAGCAGCTAATGTGGTATAATTCCCCGAAAAACATGCTTCAAAGACCAAACACAAGAGGCCATTCCCTCCTGTGCCCACTACTTCCTCTGCCCCCAAAGAAATAATAACTTATTAGGCTCATGCCAGAGATTCCTTAAGCATTAAATATGTTACAAATATATTCTCAAAATTATTATCTGACTTCTTTCTACTTCTGTCCGGTGTGTGTATTTGCATGTGTGTGTCCTTTGCTTTGTTTGGTCTTCCAAACACCCTTGATGAATCCAGACCAAATGGTCCTCCCTCAGTTTTTGGAAAACATTGCCAAAGGGAGGGAAAGAAGACACCTAAGCAAGACTTCTGAAATGACCGAGAAGCATCTCTAGATGGCACAGACGCAGAGATCCTAAGAAGGAAGGACAAGGTGAGGTCACCCACTCCAAGCAGCAGGAGCTTCATGAGCCAATAAATTCCCCAAGCATCAGTCCAGATAATGTTTTACACACACACACACACAGTCCCCACCCCACCCTGTGATCTCTAGCCTGGACACGACACGCACACAAACACACACAGGTGTGAACAGAAGCACACACAGAGGACTACACACCCTTTCCCAAAATAAAATATGAAAGCAGCAGCTATTGGTCAATTTGAGGAACTGATTTTGTGAATGAAGAAAACAAAGCTAAAATAAAGCCCCTCTCTCAGATTAATAAAATCTTCTCAAAGCCCAACCCTGCAAAGCATGTAATTGTAGAACAGGGTGTGGGTTGGGTTTTTTTGTTTTTTTCTGTCTCTCTCTCTCCTTAGCTTTCTTACTTGTGTTCCATAAATAAATTCTGTCCTTGACAACTAACTGTAACTCAGACACTAGCAAGAAAAGAGAAATGCCTGTAAAAACAGGTGCATTCTTTCAGCCTACGAGGAAAACAACAGCAACAACAAAATCCTGGTTTGAAACCGTGGATGGGAGAGGGGGACGTGTCCGTGGAAAGCCCAACCCCTCTAGGTTCACAGTTAGCCCTCCACTGGCTTGCAGGGTTGGCAATCACACGTGTGTATTTTTAGGTCAAAAGACAAACAGAAACGTGTATGAACTATCTCTGAGCTCAGTTTCACATCTGGGTAGAGTCCTGATAATCCTGAGTTTCCTGGAGGCGGTCAAACTAGAGAAGAGTTTTTAAAAAGAAAGAAAGAATTCTTCCCCAGCAGGCGCTGTTAGGAAGGGTTTGACCTGGGCAGGGTGAGCACACGCCCATTCTTCTTGCCCCCGTTCATGTGGGTGTATGGGATGTGTTCATCATAGGTCCGTTTGATGCTCAGAGTGGACCCTCCCTCCCGGCCCCCAGGTTCTTCCCTGTGACAGTGAGAGGACCGATCCAAGGGGACATTCTCCATGTCCTCGAACTCCATCTCCAGCTCCTCACTCTCAGGAGCCTTGTTCTCTTCGCTGTAGAAGAAGGAAACCTCTGGAAAGCTGGGGTGGAGGTCATCCTTCAGCAGGTTGACAATTTCCAGGAAGGTTGGCCTCATCTTGGGGTTGAACTGCCAGCACATGCGCATCAGGTCAGTGCTGCAGGAACAAGAACCAGGGTGGATGAGCCTCAATATGCAGCCAAGCCAAGCAGCTCCCTCACACTCCGCCCCACCATAGACCACATCCAAGCAGTAGACTCCTTGCCTTAGCTGTGGCTGCACCTATGGCTGTCAAGGCTGGACTGACAATTCTAGTGGGACTGGAAGACGGCTGTGAAAAGTAAGCCGGCAAGACTTGGTAGTGCAGGCCTGTCATCCCAGCTACTCGGGAGGCTAGGGTAGGACGACTAGAAATTCAAGGCCTGCCACGTTAGAGTGACTTTCAGACCAGCCTGGGCAACTTAGTGAGACCAGTGCCTCTAAATTAAAAGGACAAAGAGGGACAGTGCTCAGTGGAGGAAGAGGGAGGGCAGAGGAAAAGGAAAAAAGAATGGGAAATGGAAAGAAAAGATTGGGAAAGGAAGGAATGGGCAGGGAGGAAGAAAAAGGTGGGAGAGGGGAGGAGAAAATAACAGTGGAGCCAAGAAGCTGTCAACCAGGGAAAGGGCCCCAACTAGGGAAAGTTTAGATTAGGTTGGAATGCTAACATGCCCGTGGGGGTTGTCGTGGTTGTCAGTTGATATGGCAAGACCTGAATCTGGGAGGCTAACACTACACCCTGGGCAGGGCCTCCTAAACTTCATGTTTAGGATGTGGAAAGCAAGCTGAGAGAGCAAACAAGGAAAGATCACATACTTACTTCTCTCTGCCCTTGACTGCAGATGTGACCTGACTAGCTGCTTCCTACTTTGACCTCCCCATTAGTGATCCAAATAAGGTCTTCCTCCCCTAAATTGCTTGTGGTCAGGTTTTACCATGGTAACAGAGGTGAGGAGCTGGACAGGTTGTGTTGTACATCGTTTATTCCCCTACACATCCCCAGTCTCCTGTGTCTCAGGAGTTACCGGTATGTCTTGCTCCTGTCTGGAACTGCTTGCTGAGGCTTACCTGTACCCAACAGTCATTCTAGACTTAAAGACTCTTCAGGGCTGGTATCCTTGAGCGCTGGCAGGTACAGCTATATGAACTGAACATAGGGAGCCGGCTCCTCATATATCAAAAGAAAATGTCAGGAGGGGCTCTTGCAGTGTTTAGAGGACTGAGGTACACTGGCGCCTAACATCATACAAGAGTCCAGACCTCATCCTTACAGATTCTCCAAGAGCCCCAGGCTTCTACTTTACTCAGTCCAAAACATTAAGAACAGGAACCAAGGACTTCCATTTGCATTTTGACCTTTTCCTTTCTCCCATGTAACTTGACCTACAGCAAATTTCAGACCTTGAATGAAAACTGGCCCCCTTGCATGTGTCTATAAAGTTTTATTGTCACAGGGTATAATGCTGTTTATTAGATGCCTCCAAACACTGAGCCGTTGATGCAACACGTTTCCAGGTACAGCTCTGGGGAAGTGTTTGGATCATGAAGGCACTAACCTAGTCCATGGATGAAACCATCAGTGGAGTAAGAGGAACACTAAGAGGAAGGGCCTTGCTGGAGGAAGCGGGTTAGTGGAGGTATGAATCTCAGGGGTACATTTTACCTCCAACCTCAGCTCCACTCTCATCCTACCACCCTTGACCTTCTGCCTCACCAGAGCTCTATGGAGAGAGACTGAAACTGTGAGCCACAGTCAGTCTTACTTCTCGGGTATTCCCCAGCAGTGACAGCTAACAAACAGGGTCTCATCCGTGCATCTACACGATGCCAATGACTGTATTCAAGATACAACTGTGCAGCCATCATGCTGTCGATATTTATAATAGAGCCTTTAGGGAAAGGCTGTGGACCTCTGCCCTGGGGCTCAGTCTCCTTTCCAGTTGCTACAGACCATCAGAGTGGGGGAAGGAAGGCGGTAGGAACTTAAAGCACTAGTCACATCACAAGACACATAGAGAATGAATGCGTGCTGGCTGTCAGGTTCCCCTGCCTAGGAAATGGTGCCACCAACAGTGGTGGGTGACATCAATTAGCATAATCAAGACAATCCCCCACAGACATGCCCACAGCCAATGTTACCTAGACAACTCTCCTCCCAGACAATTCTAGATTGTGCCAAGTTGATAATTAAAACTAATCATCACAGGTTAAACCCCCAAGTTCTCAACCAGTTACAAACTGGTCTAGTTAGGAAAGGGCAATGTTCAGAAAATTTTGAATGTGAAGAGAAAAATACAAATACAAGACAAATGCAAGCAGCTGCATGAAGACACGATAGAAACACAAAATGGTTGTAAAGGTTTGCTAGGCAAGGGTCAGCCTGAGAACCTGAGTTAGTTCATCAGAACCTACATAAAAAATACATACATTTACAATCCCAGTGCTGGGGAGGTAGAGGTAGGAGGATCCTGGGGACTCTACAGCTGGCCATCCAGCCTAGCTGAATAAATGAGTAGAACGCCAATGGAAGGCCATGTTTCAAAGGAGGTGAATGATGCCCAAGGTTGCCCTCTGGTCTCCACACATGTATGAACAACAGGTATGTACAGGAGCATTTAAAAAAAATTAAGGAACTAAAGAGATGGCTCAGTGGTTAAGAGGACTTATGCCTCTTGAAGATGACCAAGGTTTAGCTCCCAGCACCCATGTATTGGTTCACAACTACTTTGATTAGATTCATCACACTCTCCACCTCTTTTCTATACTTACAGTCTCTCGGGACAATTATCAGGTGGATCCAGATAGCCTCCTTCCATGACAAATTTCAACACCTGTTCGTTAGACAGGCCTTGGTATGGTTGCTCAGCCAGGCTAGTGATTTCCCAAAGGACCACCCCAAAGGACCTGCCAACGACAATTGAGAACAGTTAACAAAGAAATCAACTAAACACACACACACACACACACACACACACCCTGTCTCTCTCTCAAACATATCCATCCATACCTCTTTTGACTTACGAGAACTTGGCTGGCCAAGTAAAACAATTGACAGACTAAAACAATAGCTCAGTTGGCCAAGTGCTTTCCACCAAAGTATGTGTACCTGAGTTCAGTGCCCAAAACCCATGTAAAGAACTGGATGTAGGGGCCAGCAAGATATCTCAGTAGGCAAAACTCTTGCTGCCAAGCCTAATGACCCGAATTAGATCCCAAGGGCCCATATGGTGGGAGGTGAGAAGTGACTCCTGTACGTTGTCCTTTGACTTCCACACATGTGCTGTGGCATGTTCCTCGGAACACACACACACAAAGACACAGCCACACATCTAACTTGTGTGTGTGTGTGTGTGTGTGTGTGTGTGTGTGTGTGTGTGTGTGGTGTGTCTTTTGTTTAAAGCAGGGCTAGCTGGGGAGATGACTCAGTGGCTCATGTGCTTGCCCCACAAGTCTGAGGATAGAAGTTCAAATCCCCAGAAAATCATGTAAATGCCAAATGGGCATAGTAACCTAGCTGTAATTCCAGCCTCAGAAGGCAGAGACAGGGGATCCCTAGAGCAAGCTGGCTGACTAGCAAGAATAGTCATCGCACCTTGACTAGCTCTGGGTTTGATTGAGAGACCCTGCCTCAGTGAATAAAGTAGAAGAGCAGTCAAGGATAATTTCCAATATCAACCTCAGAACTCTACATGCACGAACGCACACTTGGTGTGCACACATAGGCAAACAACCACATACATATGAAAATGGGGTAAGGGAGAAGCTGGGTGTGGTGGTGAGCACTTGTAATCCCAGCACAGGGGAAGCAGAGAATCCCAAGATCTCTGGCCAGCAAACCTAACCAATTTAGAAAATTACAGGTCAGTGAGAGACACTGTTTAAAAAAAAGAAGGTAGAAGTCGGGCAGTGTGGGTGTGCGCCTTTAATCCAAGCACTTGGGAGGCAGTGGCCAGCCTGGTCTATAAGGACTAGTTCCAGGATAGGCTGCAAAGCTATAGAGAAAGCCTGTCTCAGAGAGAGGGAGAGAGGGAAAGAGGGAGAGAGGGAGAGAGGGAGAGGGAGAGGGAGAGAGAGGGAGAGAGAGAGAGAGAGAGAGAGAGAGAGAGAGAGAACTACTTTGATGGCACCTGAAAAGGAAGTATGCCCAAGGCAGTCACATGCCTTCCAAATGGAAACATGGAAACCTGTGTGCACTGTTGTGGGATATTTGTACACTGTGTGAAGATATATTGCTGCAATTGGTTTAATAAAGAGCTGAACAGCCAATAGCTAGGCAGGAAGTATAGGTGGGATTTCTGAGAAAAGAAAAAAAAAGAAGAGGAATCAAGAGGCAGGAGAAGCCAGGAGACATGGAGAGAAAACAGGATAAAGAAGGTGTGGCACATATACACTTTAGAGTTCTACTCAGTGGTAAAAAAACAATGACATCTTGAATTTTGCATGCAAATGGATGGAAATAGAAAACACTATCCTAAGTGAGGTAACCCAGACCCAAAAGGATGAATATGGTATGTACTCACTCATAAGTGGATTCTGGCCATAAATAAAGGGCATTGAGCCTATAATTCGTGATTCTAGAGAAGCTAAATAAGAAGGTGAACCCAAAGAATAACATATAGTTATCCTCCTGGATATTGGAAGTGGACAAGCGTGTCGGACAGGGGTTGGGAGCGTGGGGGTGGGGGTGGGGTAGGGATAAGGGGAGATGGGGAGAGAGAAGAGAGAAGGGGAGGATGGGGAGAGTTTGAGGGAATGGGATGGTTGAGATGGAGGAGGGGTAGATGAGGGAGCAGGGAAGTAGATATCTTAATTAAGGGAGCCATTTTAAGGTTGGCAAGAGACTTGACTTTGGAGGGGTTCCCAGGTGTCCAAGGAGATGTGCCCACTTGTTCCTTGGGCAGCAGAGGAGAGAGTACCTGAACTGGCCTTATCCTAAGGCCACACTGATGAATATCTTGCAAATCACCATAGAACCTTCATCTGGCGATGGATGGAGATAGAGACAGAGACCCACATTGGAGCACTGGACTGAGCTCCCAAGGTCCAAATGAGAAGCAGAAGGAGGGAGAACATGAGCAAGGAAGTCAGGACAGCGACAGCAGGACTGATCTAATGGGAGATTACCAAGACCAGTTGGACTGGAACTGATAGAGCATGTGATCAAACCGGACTCTCTGAATGTGGCTGACGGTGGAGGCTGATGGAAAAGCCAAGGACAATGGCGCTGAGTTTCGATTCTACTGCATGGATGGGCTTTGTGGGAGCCTAGTCTGTTTGGATGCTCACCTTCCTGGACCTGGGGGGAGCAGGGAGGACCTTAGACTTCCCATAGGGTAGGGAACCCTGACTGTTCCTTGGACTGGAGAGGGAAGGGCAGGGGAGGGGGAGTGGAGGGAGGGGAGGGAAGTGGGAGGAGGGAAGGAGGTAAAATTTTCAATAAAAAATAAATAAATTTTAAAAAAAAGATAGAAGAGAGTTAATGCCATGTGATAGAATGTAGATTAATATAAATGGGTTAATCTAAGTTATAAGAGCTAGTTAGGAACAAGCCTAAGCTATAAATTGAGCTTTCATAATTAATAAGTCTTTGTGTCATTATTTGGGAGCTGGATGACGGGATAGAGAAAGATTCATTACAGCATGTGAACATACACACACACATGTGCACACATGCACACACAACTGCAACAATTTATGTCATAATTCATAAATAAATTCTTCTAAAACCATTCTCAATCAATGCACAAGGACCCAGAAAGGACTACCTTCATTTCAATATGTAGAAGGCAGGCTTCCCTCTACCACCTCCTGCTGACCGCATTAGTGGGACTCCTGCAGGAGTTTAAACTCCATACAGACATATCTACCCATGCATGCATAACTTACCACATATCAGAAGAAGCAGTAAAGACTCCATCCTTCAAGGACTCAGGTGACATCCACCGTACAGGCAGCAAGCCCTTGCCCCCTTTCCGATAGTAATCTGTCTCATAGATGTCTCTCGTCATTCCAAAGTCTGACAACAAACAGTTCACACGTTTTTCAGTTCATAATCCTAGCATCGAGTGTTCCACCAAACACAACACAACTAAAGAGTAGGGAAATTCCCCAAGAAGGAGTTCGGGGGCCTGAAACTGAGGCTGTTGATAGAGAATAGGGGCTACCATGTAAAGGAAGGGGAAAAGAGGTCCCTAACGACAAAGAACCAACAGTCTGGCCTGAAGCTCTCAACAATTCATCCTTCCCACCTACTCCTTCCCCAGTGTCCCGAACAGACCTTTTCCCTTTTTCCAGCCAACCTGCTACTACCGTGACTCAGCTGCTCACCCCAAAACCAAAAGTTGAGGGTCCCCTTTTGACCTTGTCTTTTGCTCATACCCCCAAACAGTGGGCAACCAAGGCTTTCTGGCTCTACATCTCTCTCCAATGCATCTCACTTCTCATTGCCTTTGAACAAACCAGGCTCACCTCCATCTCTCCCCTGTGCATCCTCCACCATGGTAACATCCCACTATACGAGGGCACCTATACAGAATCATACCTCTTCCTGTTCCCACTGTTTTTGTTTCTTTTTCTGAGACAGTCTCACATATTCTAGGACAGCCTAGGACTTGCCATGTTTCTAGAATGACATTGAGCTACTGATCTTCCTGCCTCTACCTCCGCTAGTGTCAGGATACATGCACCGCCACACCTGGGTTTTGGGGGGCAGGGTTTCTCATTAATGTAGGAAGGTCTTTAGGATCATAAGTAATGAATCATGTCTGATGTGGGATTCCCCTTTGTATGCTGTGAATACCATTGGTTAATAAAGAAACTGGCTTGGCCTATAGCAAGGTAGAACTTAGTTAGGTGGGAAAGCTAGGCTGAATGCTGGGAGAAAGAGGGCAGAGTCAGAGGGAAGCCATGTAGCCCTGCCGGAGATAGATACTGAACGGAACTTTACCTGGTAAGCCACAGCCATGTGGCAATACACAGATTAATAGAGATGGGTTAAATTACTATGTAAGAGCTAGCCAATAAGAAGCTAGAGCTACTAGGCCAAGCAGTGATTTAATTAATACAGTTTCTGTGTGGTTATTTTGGGTCTGAGCTGCCGAGCGGCCAGAATGACCAAGAGGCCTTCTTACAACACGTGTCCCATCTTCCTGCAGGATGATGTCACTGGGTCACATTCCTGCAAGACTCCTGCTGTTATGTAGAAGATTATCTCTTGGATTCACGCATAGGTTCACCTCCCTACCTGCTCCCATAACTAATGTTTGTGTGGGGGAAGGTGAGTCTGTGGGATCTTCCTGATTCTCACTGGTGTTATAGAGGAGAGGCAAGTCCTATAAGTTATGAAGCACTTGCATGCCTACTTCTTGGCTTTCAGCTCAGCCTTACACCTCACTGTCCTGGGCCCTCCCATCCTATCTACACACTCCAAGCAGACATCGAGACACTTCACATCTACTTCTGCTGCCTCCTACATTCTCTGACTCAACCTTCGGTCTTGTACTAGGAAGTATTAACTGTCACCTGGACACAGGCTAGAGTCACCTGAGAGGAAAGCCTCCATTAAACCACCAAGCCAGATTGGCCTCGGGGCAAGACTATGGGGGCCTGTCTTGATGGTTAGTTAATATAGGAGGGTCCAGTCCACTCTGGACAGCACCATTTCTTTGGCAGAGATTCCTGGGCTAGCTAAGCACGAGCCAGAGCAAACCACCAAGCAGCGTTCTTTTATGGTTTCTGCTTCAAGTTGCTGCCCTGACTTCCCCGAGTGATGGACAAGTTGAAACAAACTCTTTCCTCCCCAAGGGGCTTTATTTATTTGTTTTTTTTATTTACTTAATTATGATAGAAACAGGCAGGAAACTAGAACAGAAATGTTGACTTTGGGGCTAGGAAAGTGCCCAGAAGTGGGTAAAAGTACTTTTCAGGCAAGCATGAGGACCTGAGTTCTGAGCCCCAGACCCTGCCATTCTACACACACACACACGTGGGTGTGCACTAAAGGATTCCAAGACACACCTCCAATTTTGACGGTAAAATCATGAGCAACCATGCAGTTTCGAGCTGCCAGGTCCCGGTGTACAAACTTCTTGGCATTCAAGTATGCCATGCCATCAGCAATTTCTGCTGTCATCTGAATCATCTCTTGCAAGGTAGGGGGAGGACGGCCTGGGTTATTCTAAAGTCAAAACAAGAGTTGCAATTAGCTCTCTGCTGCCATCTGAATTATCTCTTGCAGGGTAAGGGGAAAGTAGCCAAGGTTACAAAGTCAAAATATGGGTTTGCACTTAGCAAGCTTGGTACACTTAAGAGCGGGTGCCCTTCTTAGGGACCTATAGGAAGCTCACTTCAGCATCCGGGCGCAGGGAACGGAGGTGACTCTTCAGGTCTCCATGAGCCATCAACTCCATCACTACCAGTGTTGGCTGGCCTTTGGACACCACCCCAAGGAGGCGAACCTGTAGGACAAGCATGGGAGTGATTCAAAGAGCATGAAGGTGACTCAAAGAGGGTCCAGGTATTATTACTTCAACTTGCCATGAACTCTCTGTCTGGTGCCCACAGCACACAAGCCACTCCATACTTGGAAGAAGCACACCCAACCCTACTATGGGGAAGCAAACAGACCCACCCATGTATAGCACATGCCAGCAAATCTCACACGCTTAATGTTCCTCAGTATATAAACCATGTTCTTACCTCCAGACCTTTGCAGTTCCTGCTCTCCTTGGCCTGTCTCCTCTCATGTACACATGGTTCAGTCTCACATCCTTTAAGACTTTATTCAAATTTACTCCACAATCCTCTTTCTCTCTCTCTCTCTCTTTTTCAATTTTTCCTAGCACCACTCTCCCAATATGCCTTTCATACATCTATTTTGGGAAATGTCTTCCCTGCAATAGATATCTAAGAGGGAGGTCAGGAACTTGCTTCCACATCAGCAAGAGCAGGGTATTTAGGAGATGATATATAGCAATTTCTTCTGAATTGAAGCATTCCATCCTGGAGGGAAGCTTCTTAAGACTAAGGAAGTAAACAATTCACAAGTCTAAGAAATTTCCTAAAAATTTACAAGATACAAAACTGCCACCATCATCCCTTTCCAAATAAAATCTCTAGAAAGAATAGATTCTCCATCTCTCTAGTGCCTGCAAGTTGTGCAGAGAACTGAAATTCAAGTTTTCATGAGTTATCACTTATGCTAGAGTGGGCTTTTTGGAGATGCAGCTACCTATGCACATTGTCCATGTTCCTCTAAGTAAACCTACACTCTTGCAAGCTACAATATACTCACTGGTCCATCAGCTAGAGCTCTAATGGAATCCTTTCTTTGGTTTGTCATGAATACCCTATCAAAGTAAGTTTTGTTCACCTCTCTGCAGTACAAGTCACACAAAAGGGGACTCTAAATATACCTTATAACAATAAACAAACATAAGGTTCAACAATAAATAAAGTGCTCACGCTGGGAACAGAAAGGCAGGGAAGGTTTATTTTGGCTTCAGGGAGAAGAAAGAATGGGAGCAGGCACAAAGGGGTGGCCTTCCGTGTGGTTAAGAGTTATAGGGAAGGCAAGAATAGCAAAGAAATGTAATAATATAAATATCATTGGAAAGTCTGGAAAGCAAAGGAAGATCCTAGAAAGTGACAGAACAGTTAGAGAGTTTGATTCTAGGTAAGCTGGGAAAAGATGAGGTGGAGATGGGAGGCTTAACAGGGTGGGGGTAGGCATCAGTCTACACCCAGTTTCCTGGGTGGCTCCAGGGAGTGGAGGCAGAGTTAACAAGGAGCATGAAAGGAAACCTCTGTCCCTCCCCAACCAGACTCACCACATGATGGCAGGTGAATCCCTTCATGACCGATGCCTCGTTGAGGAACTCGATCCGTTCTCGGAGACTGGCTGACTCATTGACAGTCTTCACTGCAACACGGGTCTCTGCCTCACCCTTGATGATATCCTTGGCATTGCCCTCATACACCATACCAAAGGATCCCTGCCCCAGCTCTCGTAGAAGGGTGATCTTCTCTCGAGGCACCTCCCACTCATCCGGCACGTACACAGAAGAAGGAAACACTACTTTTCACTTATCTATACAGTATGCTCAGCCAGCCTCTTAAGGGCCCCCTAAGATACCCCCCTCCCAGCAACACAACTTTTTATTGAGCTATACAAAAATATTCACTCATTCTGTGGCTCAAAACTTCGGCTGGGCATTGGGTAAACAACCCAGAACAGGATGAGTTTCTGCCACCATCAAGGAGAATGCAGAAGCCAGGGAATGAGCTACAGTTAGTTCAAGATCCTGCTTAGGAAGCACTAAGATGGTCCTGTATCCCCTTCTTTTCCGTCTTGACTCCAGATCCCTGCCACTGGATGGTGTCTCTTCCTGTGATAGTTAATACCCTGAGTCACCTAGGAGACAAGTCTTGGGGAATGTCTATAAAAGAAGCTTTTAGATGAAATTAATTGAGGTGTAAAGACCCACTCTAAACATGGGCAGATCATCCCAAGGGCTGGAATTCTGGACTGAATAAAAAAGGCAAAAGTGTGCTGAGCAGCAGTATTTGCCACTCTGCTTCCTGACTCCGGACACAATGTGACCAGTTGCCAAGACTTCTGCTCCATAAGGAGCTGCACCCTGAAACTGTGAGCCAAAATGAAACCTCACTCCCTTAAGATGTCTTTGTCAAGGATTTTGTCACTGTAATGGCTAAAAACAAGTTAGACACTTCCTACTTGAGATGTTTGACCAAGTGCAAATGGAACAGTGGAAGAAAGGGAGTAGGTTAAAATAGACTGGGGAAAAAAGTGTCTATAATGCTTAGCAATCCTTCCTAGAAAGTGGTAGATTCTCTGTCGCCACCCTCTGGACTCCTTCATGGCCTTCTGATTCTCTTCAGTCCAATAAGACTCAGCAAGAAGATGCCTTGTAGCCCGCCTTAATTGTTAGGAACCCACAGAGCATGCTAGGGAAGGACACCATGCAAGAGACCACCTAGAAGGAGAGACTGAGCTGCCTGTAGCTTGGCTACTCCTTGGGACCACCCAGCCTACTAACCAACACTAGTGAGTGGGGTTATCCAAGGCAACAACCTACAGGCCCAATCAATACTTTCATGCCTTGAAACTCAAACATTGATTGTGCTACATGAGGTGCTTTAAAGAAAATATGCCAAATTATGAAATTCTTGGAAAAGAGGCATGTCTTCTCTCTAGAGGCCACCCACTGTCCTTAGGGACAGTTAGGACTGGTGTTGAGTGTAAATGCTAATCTCCCAACATCAGCATCAGTTTACACTCAGCTACCACCACTTTTGCTAGGGAGCAAAAGTCTCCCTAGCACTCATTCAGCTCCTACCTGACCCATCCTACCTTCACTTGTTTACAGTTTGTGTGGATATGTGTATATACATTTGTGTGTGCATGAATTTATGGGTAAGTACACATGTGTACTTATACACATGAAGGTCAGAGGCTGACAATAGGAATCTTCCTTAATCACGCTCTACCTCCTTTGCAAGCAATGATCTCTCACTGAACCTGGAGATGACAGATTAAGCCAGGCTGATTTGCTATTAAGCCTCATGTCCCTGCTTCCCCAGTGCAAGAATGACAGGTACATACCATAGCACCCAGATGTTTACATGAACACTATGGGTCATACTCAGTCCTCAGGTGTGGGCAGTAACATTTTACCAACTGACCCATTTCCCAACATTATTATCTACACTTCTCTTCTCTCAGTGTCCTATCATGACTTCTAATTTCTAACAAGAATGACAAATTGTGTGTGTGTTGGGGGGGGGGGGGCAGTCTGGTCCTGACTTTGCAACATTCCTATGGCTGTGGCACAAAGTTTTTAGTCTCAAATTCCAACCTGAAGATCCCAAGAAAATGCTATCAAGCAACCCAGGCAGGTCCAGACAACGGATCTAAATTCCATAGTAGCAGAGTCTCTGCAGCAAGGGCAGACAGGCATGCTCAGCACTCAACGGGGTTTCTCTCAGCCTCTCTGAGATGTTTTTCCCTTCTCCCTGTGATGCTAGCCAATCCTCAGATATGACGTTAACATTGTGGCAAAGGAAATCAAGGGCGAAGTCCTGGCTTCCAACAAAAAAGGAAGAGGTGCTCACCATCACTGGCACTGAGGTATTCAGGGTTTGAAGATGCATACAGTGGTCCCATCGGCCCATCTGGCTGCCTAGAGGAGGAAAAGATAGACACACCAGCTTGAGCATCCCATGGCATTCTGGACACTGGAAACAGGCAAACACTACAAATCATGAATGGATTCATGGTTCTACATTTTGTCCAACTTAGAGAAAGTGAGAGACAACAATGTTAATTAGTGTCCAGGTTAGCCTTCATTAGTCAGCCTGACACAGACTAGAGTCATCTAAGAGGAGAAGCCTGAATTGAGGAATTGCCTAGATCAGATCAGTCTGTGAACATGTCTAAGAGGGTATGTTTTGTTTAATAATAATACAGGAGGTCCAGCCCCCTGTCAGTGGCATCATCCCTCAGCAGGTAGTCTTGGGCTGTATGAGCAAGCAAGCTGAGCAGGAGTCAGTAAAACAGCAAGCAAACATTCCTTCATGGTTTCTACTTCGAGTTTCTACTTGTGAAACAGAGGCCCTGACTGTGACTTGTAATGTAAACTAAAAAAAACCCTTTCTTTCCCAGATTGCTTTATCATAGCAACAGAAAGGAACCCCGTACCATAAAGCAGACTGAATTTCAAAGTATGTCAGCTGTGCCATGATGACATGATAAATGACACAAAAAGTTGTTCTGCCCCATATAAAAACTACCTGATTTGGCAAAGGTATTGCTTGTAGTTATCAAATATGTGTTTCCCCTTGTCTCCCTTAATTTTTGTCTTACTCTTTAACGAAAAGAGGGACGGACAAAATGAGGCTGATGCATACCTGTAGGTGGGGGGCACACACCTGCAAGCCTAGTATTTGGGAAGCTGAGGTAGGAGGTAGGATGATCACAAGTTCAAGGCCAACCTTGGCTATAGGGGAAGACCCTGCCTGAGAAAAACAGAGCAAAGATAGAATTGGACATCATCAGGTTAAGCAAAATAACCCAGACTCAGAAAGACAAAGGCAGCTATAAATTACAGAACAGTAGATAGGGCGCTAGAAGGAGAGAGGAAGAGGGTAAGGGGGATAAAGACAAAATGATGTGTAAGTGTCCCCCATATATATGGGACATGAAAACAGAAAGGTGGATGACTTCTGGGGAAGAAAGGGACCAGTAAGGATGAAGGAGGAACAAGGGAGGGGGGTCTATATAAAGAACTATACTGATATATATGTACAAAACCATCATAATGAGACCCATTGTCCTGTAAGCTATCTGAAACAGCAAAAACAAGTAAACCAATGTTTATGCTTCATTGTGGTTTGAATAAGAAATGATCTAACATTAAATGTGTGCACTGTTTTGGAAGGTTACAGGAAGGCGGAGCCTTGGTGAGGAAGTGTGTCACTGAGAGAACGGGCTTTGCAGTTTGCCAGCCCAGGCCCACTTTCTGTTCTCTCTCGACTTCTTGGGTCCAGATGAATAGTGAACAACTAGACTAATACTCCTGTAGCCAGGTCTTTGCTGTCACAGTGGACTGAATCTCCTTCTGGAACTGTAAGACAAAATCTACTTTTCCTCCCCAAAGTTGTTGTATGTCAAGGTTTTTTATTGCAGCAACAGGAAATTAACTAATGCATGACGGAATTATGTATGCTTCCTCATCAGCTATAACTCTAGGCTGGCTGCAGATATTAAGATCTGGGTAAAAATCTATCAATGGAAGCATGCAGGCAGAATCAGTGAGCTAGAGGAAATTTGTAATCAAGAGTACATCATAGTATTATACAGTAAACTTATTACCATGAGTATTGCATGTAGCACATCCCTAAGTAACCCTTGTAAGAAACTTGCCTCTATCTAATTCAGTATTTATATTACTGTTTGTTTGTTTGTTTTTACCCAAGAAAGTTGGTTGTTAGCCATTTGTCAGCACACCCTTGCTTACCTCTTTCTCAGGAATAGATAAATACTTCCAATCACAACACTGAAGAGGAAGACAAAGATGAGGGGCCCAATGATAATTTTGGCAATATTTGATGGGACATCTACTGCAACAGAATAAGAAGGTACAAGTTTAGTATAAAATGTATTGATAGCAAAAATTACACCACTGAACACTGGCTTTTGTCATCTCAGTACCTGGTATTGGGATGGAACGGAGACAGGAGGATCGTGAGTTCAATACCACCCTGGGCAATAAAGCAAATTCCTAGGCTATTTCAAGCAAGACATGGTCTTTACATGTGGGACCTATGTCCTATGGACTATGTGATCAGCATGTGGGAGCCATGGCAACTGACGGCTGCTAAGAGGAAGAGTCAGTTTTCTTCAGGGATACGGCCAATCTATTTCAGTAGATGACCCTACACCTGATACACGCTGGCAACACTAAGTGGACTCAGGGTTTTTGGTGTTTGTCATAAAATTCACCTGAAGTTGAAGGGGAAAGTGTGGGAGACAGCTCAGTCAATAAAGTGCTTGCTTTGCAACCATGAGGACCTGAGTTAGAGCTCCACATAAAAGCATGTGAAAACCTGGGTGAGGTGTTACAGACTTGGATTCATAGTACAGAGGCATGATGGAGGTGGGTCTTGTATCTATCTGTTGCTTTCATTGGTTAAATAAAGAAACTGCCTTGGCCCTTTTGATAGGACAGCAGCTTAGATAGGCGGAGTAGACAGAACAGAATGCTGGGAGAAAGAAGCCGAGTCAGTCTGTCACCATGATTCTCCCACCCGACACAGACGCAGGTTAAGATCTTTTCTGGTAAGCCACCTTGTGGTGTTACACAGATTATTAGAAATGGGTTAGATCAATAGGTAAGAGCTAGCCAATAAGAGGCTGGAACTAATGGGCCAGGCAGTGTTTAAAAGAATACGGTTTCCATGTAATTATTTCGGGTATAAAGCTAGCCGTGCGGGCAGCCGGGTGCCAGGAATGTAGCCCACCGCTCCTATTACAACAGAGGCAGAGACAGGAAGATCTCCCAGCCCGTGCTTCATCATGACTTCTGTCACCAGTTCTGGCCTGAGCAATCCCACTTTGAGCATTCCTGTGAACTGACAGCAAACTGCCCCCTTGCACTTGCTGGCTCATAGCCCATAGGATATATTTATAAATACCAGTGGCTGAATAAAACTTGGCAAACAAATGTTGTCTGTTTACAAGCCTTGTGTCCCTGCCTCCTCTCTTCTCCTTTAAGAGAAGGGAGGCTAGACTCAGAACAAAGTACTCTGAAAAGTTATAAAATTTTTGAGTTTTAACTTTTTTGAATTTTAATGTACTATTTAACAATTTATATATGTATACAATGTGTCTTAATCACACACACACTCCAATGATTAATGACTTTAAAGTATATACTTTATTATTAATCAGTGTGTGTATGTATGTGTTTGTACATGTATACTACTTGCCCACGGAGGCCAAAAGGTTGATCTACATCAAGTATCTTCCTATCGAGTTCTCTCTCTCTCTCTCTCTCTCTCTCTCTCTCTTTGTTTGCATGTTGTTTCTTTTGTTTGTTTTCTTGGAGAGAAGATCTTAGTTGTTAGCCCTCACTAGCCTGAAATACACTATGCAGACCAGGTTGGCTCGGAACTCTGTCTCTGCCTCCCTAGCACTGTCATTTCTTCTTCTATTTCTTTTTAAGATTATAATATAATTACATCATTTCCCACTCCCTTTCCCCCCTTCAATCCTCCATAAACCCTTCCTTGCTCTATACCTTGTTTTTTGAGGTAGGCTTGTTCAGTGAACACAGATCTTACTGGTTGGCCAGTACGCCCCAGGGATCTGCCCAAGTCAGGGTTACAGTTTGCACATGGGCATGCCCAGAATTTTATGTGGGTGATGAGGATGTGACCTCTTGGTAGAAAGGGTCAGCAAACATGTCGAGCTGGTTATATCACAGTTTTGGTAGACCCAAAATGAAAGCACCAGCCACTTCTTTCCCTCGGTGCCATTGTTTAAAATGTTCTACCATTCCTACAGCACCGAGCACAGATCCAACCACCTGAGGTTGCTATGGAGACTTACAATAATCAGTCACGTAAAAATAGGTGGGTTCTGTCCAGGAGCCATTGCCTGCCAAGGAGGTAGCCCGGACTCGAACACTGTAGTTCCCTGGGGAGAGCCCTCTCAGCCTGCAGCCCCGCTCCAGGGCAAAATGCTTCCTGGAGACACAGAGGTGCAGCTCCTGGAAGAAAAGAAAAGGTGGTTAGTTGAGTTTTGCACATCTGGGCACATCCCTCCCAGGAAGGGACATTACGATTATGCTCCCACACAGGTCAATCAGAGAGAGTAAAAAGGAAGGCAAGAGCCTGACCTGTCAGAGGCTCTGAGAATTCATTTGTTTCTTTCTGTTTTTATTTGTGGCGGGTGGGGTTGTTGCTTTTGCTTTCTTGAGACAGGGTCTCATGCAGCTCAAGTTGGTCTCCATAGCACAGGTGATTTGGAGGCCAGTTCTCTGGAACCTAGCCAGGTCCCCAGCCCCTCACTGGAGGATTCTCAGCAAGGGTTCCACCCTGAGCCATTCCACTGCCCCTCACTGTGGTTGGAAAGCAATAATGGAGCTGTGATTCAGGAGGCAAAGAGCTTGCCTAGCATGCTCAAACCCTGGGTTCCCTCTCAGCCCCACATAACCAGGTTGGTGCACATGCCTCTCAACAAACATAGGAAGATGGAGGTCAGAAATGCAGAAGACCAAGGCCACCCCCTCCTATACTGGCTACATAAGAAGTTTGAGGCCAGTCTTGTCTCAAAAAAGAAAGAAGAAAAAAAAAGAGTTGGCATTCCTCTGAAGACTTATTAGATGTAATATCTAAACAAACTGGGGGCACACAACCCTAAGAAGCATGGACTCAGGGCTCATTAGGAGTGAGGCCAGGATCTCTAGGGAATAACTTTGTCAAGTCTGTGATCACCAGACCCAAAATTCCAAAATTTTCCAAGTAGTTCCATCACTCACCCCTCAACTAAGAACTGGGATGGGAAGAGAAAATGTAAGAGCCCCTGTGCTCATCAAGTGATATCAGTAAGGAGAAAAGAAATGTGCTGGACGAGGTGCAGGAGGTGGGTGGAGAACTCAGTCCTAAGGTTCTTCCCAACTGAAGGAGTCATCAAGCAGAAAAGGACAGAAGCCCAGGAGAGCTGCTGAGGGCACAAGGGAGGCCCATCTCTAAGGCTGGATAATCACCATAGATGCCTAATGGGTAGAGCAAGGAAAGAATGCATGGAAGATCAGGAGCATAAGTGCTCTCTGTGAACACACAACACATAGACATACACACACAGAGATACAACACACAGACACAGGTACAAACCACAGCCACAGACAGATGCACACGCAGTTACACACTACATTTGGGGAGACACACAGAGACAGATACACCACACAAAGAGCACACAACATATGTGTGTTGTATACATACACACACATATGCACAACACACACATACACAAAGAAAAATGAACAGGGAAATTTGATCAAAAATAAACTAGGGCTGAAGAGATGGCTCAACAGTTTAGAGCACTTGTTGCTCTTGCAGAAGGTATTGGTTTGGTTTTCACTGCCCATAAGGCTTACAACCACCTGTAAGTCCAGATCCAGAACATCCAGGTGTCTGCACACAGGTGGCACACATTCACACTAATAACAATGATACACACACACACACACAATCATAGTATACATGCATAAAAGTCAAAAGAAAGGAAGGAAGGCAGACAGGAAGGAAGGGAGGGAGGGAGAGAGGAAGGAAGGAAGGAAGGAAAGAAGGAAAGAAGGAAAGAAGGAAAGATTGATTTGTTCTGCAGGTCATAGGGTGCTGACTCCATGCTCTGAGTCACTGTTAAAGTGCCATCTTTGGGTGCCAAAAAGAGACACAGTCCCGGGAGGAAAGGGTCCTCAGAGGAATCCTATCTGCTTATAAGGATTTATTATATGTTATTAGAACTCTGAAAGTTTCATGAAGTCAGTTTTGCTATATTAAGGGCATATGGATAAACACGGCCCATCATCTGTCTTATGAAATTTTATAGGTACACAATAACATTTACATGGAGTTCATGTTGCCTTCAGAGTACAATAGCAAAGTTAAGTATGTCTAAAACTAAATTACACTTCAATCATGAAATTATATTCTCTGCCTATATAGCAGTTGTGAATTCTAATTCCAGAGCCTATGAGGACAGAAACATCATGAGGCAGAAGAAAGCAACTTATGAATACAGAGCCGATATATATGTAAAACACATATGAATATGCTCGCATGTTTGCAAATCTATAAAAATTAAATAGCTTAATTCTATCTGAATACAGAGCCCAGGATGGCCCCCCGAAAAAATGAGGGTTTAGGGCCTACAGATGGTCCACTTAGTAAAGGGCTTGCTGCAGAAACACGAGTACGCAGTTCAGACCTGCAGCACCTGGTGAAAGGTGGGTGTTCAGCTCTCGGTGGGCTTCCCGGCAGCTTAGAGGCAGCTGTAACATCACTGAGTGTCAGCTCACAGTGGGCCCTTGGGTACCTTAGATATGACTTTGGAGTCTCTACTGAATTCCTACTTTCTTTGCATGCTCACATCAAACGCCACAGTGTCTGGTGTGGCAAAGAGGCACATAAGAAAGTTTTAAATAATGCACACTCCTGGACTGAGATGAATCTCCCTAAAGTGGAGCGAGCCCCATCCCATGACAAAGGACACAAATCTAAACAGCCCACGAAGCAGTTTGAAGGACACAGCTAAAAATCTACACACAAATAAGAAGAAAGACTGGGAAGTAAGATGGCTCAGCAAGCACTTTAGCTTGAAGCACAGTCCAGTGACCTGAGTTCAATCGCCAGGACCCACACAGTGAAAGAGCAAGCTGATTCTCAAAAACTGTCCTCTGACTCCTTAAACAGAGCAGGCTATGGCATGGCCACATGCTCCCCCACCTCTTCATACACAATAAATTAATTTAATTTTTTTAAAATTGAAGTGATAAAAGAAATAAAAGATTCTCAATTGACATTTCTGTCTATCTTCCTGAAAAGATGGTCATCAGGGTTTCGAACTCTAATTAAAGACAGCATCTGATGTGAGAAGCAATGGGTAGCCGAGAAACTTAGTTCCTACCCAGTATTGTATAGCAACTTCCAAAAACTAAAACATTCCAGTCTGGAAGGAAGTTCCTTAAGACTCAGAAAGTTCTAAAGGGAGGCTCTGAAAGGCTCAGGAAGTCCACACCTCATAAGTCTGAGGAAGTCACTAAAACTTCTGGGACCCACAAGGCCTCACCTTCCCTGAGGTTATGCAGCAGAACTGCTGAGGAGATGAGACTCTGACTAGGAGGGTTCTCTGCAAAGTCCTGCAGAGAGCTCCCGGGTTCCAGTTTTCATGAGTTATCATCCACGCTGTGTGGTGGGCTTTTGGTGATGCATCTGCTTTTGAATTATCCCCATGACCATAAGCCCTTATCCTTGCCACTCTAAATAACTCCCAATAAAAAGTCATTGGCTCATCAAATTGGACTCTGGTCACACCCTTACTTTGGTCTGTCACTGGTCCCAATTTGTTCACATTTCCCCTGGAATAGTTCCATACAACACCAAGATCTGGAATCCTTACCTCGTCACCATATCGCCGATAGCTCACTTCATACAGCACAATCAGACCATTGGGCTCCTTTGGCTCTTGCCACATTAAGTGTACAACATTGTTCTCAAAGATTTCGTGGGTCACAGGGCCAACAATGTCATCTGCCTTAGCTATGAGAAACATTAAAAGCTCAGATATTAATTCTTGAATCGAAATTCATTCCTGCCACCAGGGTCTCAACAGCTGAGGGACCTGGTTGTAATTTTCCCACGTCTTATTTTCTTCATCAGAAAATAAAATAAACTCATGAAGTGAGAAGATAGCTCAGTCAATAAAACCCACGTTCAATCCCCAGAGCCCACACACAAGAGCTGGAACATAGTGTTCTGATAATCCAGTGTTGAAAAGATAGACAAGCCCATCCCTGGAACGCACTGACCAGCCAGCCAGACCAAATCAAGTACCAGACCCATAAGAGATCCTAAGTGGATGGCACCTAAAAAAAGATGCCCATGGTTGATTTTTGGCTTCACCACACCTAGGCACACATATAGACACACACAGAGAAAAGATTAGGATACAGTGTGTGATGTTTAATGTTTATTGCCAACCTACATGACCTAGAATCAAATGAAAGGTGGGAATCTGATCTTGTCTGTGGGGGTTATCTCAATTGTGTTTAAGTGAGTTGGAGAGACCCACTTTGGGTGCCACCATTCCCTGCTCGGGATATAGACTGTAAAAATGGAGAAAGGGAACTGAAAACCAGCATGCATGTGCTGTTCTCTTCTTCTGACTGTGGATGTGATAGAACCAGCTGCCCCAAGCTCCTTCTGCACTGAAATCCCAGGTACAGTGAAATGTACCTTGAACTGTGAGCTAAAATAAATCCTTTCTCCTTTAAGCAGCTTTGTTAGGACTTTTATCAAAACTACAGGAAAAGAAACTAAGACACTCCAGCAAGTCCCAACTACTCAGGAAACACTTGAGTAGCGAGAAGGACTCCCTAAGACTAGGAGTTCAATGCCAACCTCGGAAACAAAGGAAGAGGTCCGTCTTGGAACAAAAACAATAGAGAACACTTTACTTTTAGAAAACATCTACACTATGCAGAGAGGAGAGGACTTGTCTGTGGCCCAGTGGGTCTCCAACCCTGTAAATTGTAAACCCAGAGGAAAGCAAGCCCACCTTCAGGCATGGTTCGGGCACTGACGTAGGCAGCCACACTGCACCTCTCTTCTGGGGAGTCTTGGTTGCATGCCTGCAGCTCAATGCGATAGCCAGTGAAGTGTCTCAGGCCAGAGATGACAAGTGACTCCTTGTTCACCACTTTCTCAAATGGCCTGTGTTCCTCCTGACTCGTAGGTGCAATGGTGGAGGAGGTGTTAGGAAAATCTGGAAGTGTAGGCATGGTGGCTGTCACATTCCCCACCTCTTCAAGGGATCTTCGCTTTCGAGATGGCCTGTGGGAAGAGAGCATGTGTGGGGGTCATGACATCACCATCTTAAAATAAAATTATACTGAGGAAAGCAATGCTTAATTAACTAAAAAGAGTCTTGAGTGGAGGAGAGGTGCAGAGGACACAGACTGATTTCCACATAGATGTCTTTGTCAGAGACACTGGCTATGAAGGCACACCCACCCTAAATGTTCTTGACTCTAGGGCTACCCCCAAGTTCTCCTCAACATGCTTGATTGAAGGTTTCCAATTTTCTGAAGAATGGTCCATAAGGGACAGAGTAAGAAAGATTTGGAAAGATGTAGGAGTGTAGCTATTGGGACAGGGGTGTCAAGGGTACTATCTACAGTCCCACACAATCAGTCTGTGATGCTCATGTATACATGGAAAAATGTAGGAGTGTAGCTATTAGGACAGGGGTGTCAAGGGTACTATCTACAGTCCCACACAATCGGTCTGTGATGGTCATGTACACATATGCATGTGTATGCTCATGTGTGTGCAGCTTCACAAGGAGGCCAGAGGTCAATCTTGAGTGTTGTTCCTCAAGTGCTGTCCACCTTGGCTTTTTTTCTTCTTCTTTAAAGCAGTCTCTCTCATTAACCTGTAACTCACGGAGTAGGCTAAGATGACCAGTCAACAAGACCCAGGGAACCACCTCGCTTCACTTTCCCGGCACTGGGATTACAAATTGAGTCACCATGCTGGGCCTTGTTTTTAAGACTTATTTCTATTTCTAAGTCTTTGTATATGTGTGTGGGTATTTGCAAGTGAGTGCAAAGACCCTCAGAGTCCAGAAGAGGTCATCAGATTCCCTAGAGCAGGAGTTACAGGCAGATGTGGGTCACTTCATGTGGGTGCTGGAAACTGAGCTTAGGTCCTCTGTAAGAGCAGTAAGAATTTAAATCACTGAGCTTCCAGGGTTTGTTTGTTTTTTGTTTTTACTCAATTCCTCATGCTGACAAGGCAAGCATTTCACTAACTGATCCATCATCCCAGGCCCTACATTGTCATTCAAACACGCGTTGTTAACAGAGAGTGCTGTGAAACTTGAGAGGTGAAGCATCGATTCTTGGTAATGAAATTCTACACTGGGGTTAGAGCGAGAAAAAGAAAGAACCATTAAGTGGGCAGATGCCCCTGCCCCTTAAAGAGACACAGAAAATAAATACTGAGAGATGACACACTAAAAACTGCAGAAAGTATATGTGGAAATGTAAATTCTTCATAGCTCCCATGATCCACGGCTCCCTCTGCACAATTACTTTTGCTTATAAGCCATGGGAGCGTGATGATGATCCAGCCAGCTGCTTACTACACCTGCTAGATGGGAAACAACCCCTGAGTACTTTCCTAAAACATGAGGTTAAGAGAGCTTCCTGAACTTCCAGAGGACTTGAGTTAGTTTCCCAGCACCCCAGATCAGGCCTCCTGCAACAGCTCCAGAGTCCCACACCCTCTTCTGGCCTCTGCAGACACCTGCACACACATGGCATATGCTCACAGATACACAGAAATAAAAAATAAACTCTTTTTAAAAAGTCTTAAGATGAAGATTTCTGTTTGGGTATGGCTTTTTCCTCAGCTAAAATTGGGATTTTCTACAAATGGTGTGTGTGCGGCTTTTATGTGTGTGTGTGTGTGTGTGTGTGTGTGTACATGTTTAATTATTTCATATATGAGTACTGTATTTACATCATTTCCACCAACTCCTCCCATGTCATCCACTCCCTCTCATGACCTTTTTCTTCTCTAATCATCATTCACACACACATAATATATATATACACATATATAAAAGCTATGTCAAATTTATTAACACACACATAGCTTATATAAATGTGTATGTACATGCACACACACACACATATTTCATGGAGTCCATTTAGTGTTGCTCATACATACATGTATCTAGGGCTGATAACCAGGGACTGCATAATCTATCAGGGGCTCACCCGGGATAAACCATCTCTCTGGCCCCAGCACATGACCTTGCTGAAAATTCATTGGCTACAAAAGATCATCACTTAATTCATGATTCATCCTTCACTTAAGCATTTTCCTATTTTTCAAACAAGGGTATCCCCAAGGTACAGTTCAGTGATACAGTGCATGCTTAGCTTACATGAGACCTTAGGTTTGATCCAAAAAGAAAGGAAAAGAACATTCCTAGTCTTTCCTCACTACAGTTTTGATTACTGTGTTGTCCTACTATTTTCCAAAGCAGATCCTGGGAAGAAACTATGGCCAGGTTGAAAGAACTCTGAGCCTCTGGAAACCTGTGTGCCTGACGATACTGCACACTGTACATGGTACTGCCTGCAGCCTCACCCACCACCGTGACTCTGGACTTTGGAATAACATTAGAAAGCTAAGGGTTAAAAGCTGGGTTTTGTCTTTTTCCAAAATTTTCAGAGACATTACAAACATGGCACCAGAGAGTGGAGTGGTCAGCCCTCACTGGGACATTTACACCCTCCCACAGACTCAGCCCTCACTGGGACATTTACACCCTCCCACAGACTCAGCCCTCACTGGGACATTTACACTCTCTCCAAAAAGGCCCAAGGAGCATCATGGAAGGGAAGACTTAGCCCAGCATGGCCTTGACTCCCAGGTACACTTCTATCTCTGCATCTCACTTGAGATAATTGGATCTAAAGCCACAAACTAAAGACTGAGCATATTGTCCTTTCATCCCTCGTTATGTACAATAGCCTTCTTAAGTGAAAAAAGAAAACAGCTTATTTATTAAGCCTCAATTCAACCCATTCATTTTAGTGAGCCTGAGATAATTTCTATACAGTCACAATTGAACCTGACAAAATAACCAGAATCCTCATGCCTCACAACCCACACTGGGGGAGTCATATCTGAACATCTGAAGACCATGTGCACTCATCAAACACGCCAATGGGCAGAGAATGCATTTTGTTCTACCGAAATTTTTATTTTTAATGTTTATTATTATATTATTTTGTGGGGGGGTATTTTTCACTTTCAGTCAGTACTCTCAAATACAGGGCCATCTCTCCAGCCCCTGCAGTTTTTAAGATTGAAGATCTATACCAGCTTTACTTTGGATAAGCCTACAAGCTACATGTTGGCCTTTTCTAGCAAAAAGGAAACGGTTTTGTGTTTATTTAATTTTTGAAGTGTTGGGAATTAAACTTCACTTTTGCAGTAGTGGGTACTAAGTCTTGTTTTATCTTATTTTCATGTGTTTTAATTTTGCACTGCTTGATACTGAGCCCTTTGCTCGGTGGCATTCACTGTTTTACTTTGTTTTTGCAGTACTGTGGGTTCAGCCATTCCTCTGCTTTCCATTTGATCTCATTTCTGCAGTGGGAAAGACTAAACCTATAACTTTATGCATTCATGTATTTATTTACTTTGGTGTTTTGAGTCAGGGTGTCTTTGTGTAGCCCTGACTGTCCTAGAATTCATGCTGTAGTATATATAGGATACTATAACAATAAAATAAAGGGCTGAAGAGATGGCTCAGTGGTTAGTAGCACTGGCTGCTATTGCAGAGACAGTTCAGTTCCCAGCATCTACATGGCAGCTCACAACTGTCCATAACTCCTGTTCCAGAGAATCTTATGTCCGCTTCTGGCATCTCATGGCACCAGGCAGTTACATGGTGCATAGACGTATATGAGGGCAAAATATCTAACCATATTAAAATAAAAATAAGTAAATCCTCAAACGTTATATCAAGTGAAAAGCCACTGTGTTAATGAATGACCTCTGACAAAGAATATCAACCGAGCCCTCTACGCCATTCAGAAACGTGACTTCATTATTCAGCAATCCCACACTAAACCAGTGAGCTCAACCAGAGAATGCTGCCATGGCTACTCTGGAAGCTGAGCTGTTCCTGCTGTGGAGTAGGGTGAGTTCAGGAATTCTTCTCAGCATCGTACCATGTCCAGAATGCTCCTCACCCCACTGAGCAATCTATCCCCAAATATCAACTGGGGATGAGAAATTCAGCTTAGGGTGTGGGCCACACAATTCATGAGCTTCACTGACAACAGATTATATTTCAATTGGCCACTAGAGGTCAGATCTAGCCTGGAAATAGAGACAGACAGTGCTAGAAATTCTTGCCTGCTACTGTGAACAAGGTCACAGCCTCAGGCGGAGAAGCCATCACTGGGGAAAACCTAGTGATGCCTCTTTTTCAAACCATCATGTCGTCAAACGGCCTTCTAAGTGCTTGTTTAGCTCCTCACTGATTTGTGCTGCTCTCAGCCTTGGTGAGAGAAGCTTCTCATTGCAGTGAGCAGTGATTAAAGCATTGACTCTCATCACTGTTCAAAGTGGTGAGAGTAAGTGCCTGGCTGCTCAGCTAGGACTAGCTGCGACATTAGATCAGCCCCACCCCAACGTCTCAGCAGTGAAAAACCTGTTTAAGAGTCAAACAGTGGGGAACATTGTCCTCTGGACAAGACATGGCCATTGTGCTCACAAACCCACAGCAGCTATGGTTACTTACACAAGACCTACACAAGATCAAGCCAGTTAAAAATTCCAACATGGGGTTGGGGCCCTGCCTGAGGAATTATTGTCAGTTGATGGCTACTGGGGAAGGAGAGCCACTTTCCTTTGGAGTTGATGGCTACTGGGGAAGGAGAGCCACTTTCCTTTGGAGTTGTGATCAGTGGTAGGTCAACATACATCAAAGAAAGGCCCCACACTTGTTCATAAATTGATAGCACTAATTCAATTCAGAGGGTTAAAAAATAAATATGTATTTTATTAAATCCTTCAAAGCAGCCCCTACCTGTCTCTCTAGACTTGCTTTGTGCTCCAACAATAGCTAACAAAGTCTCATCTCCCTGACTGTCTGCATTTGTCCTTAAAGGCCTCCCTATGACTACTGTCCCTCAGTTTACTGCTGAAATTCAGCAACATTGTATTCCTTTGACCGGTCACCTTTTGTGGTCATATTGCATTGTCTAGAGACCCAGAGAAATGGTCATTAGGAAGGATGAGATTGGGTTTAATAAAAAGTAGAATTCCCTATCACCTGAAGCTGGAACTTCAAGCCTCAGACAGGGTTCTGGGTGTGTGCCCAGCTACATGTAGTCAGATATTTAGTGAGCAATGCCTGGAGGGAAAATGATGCATTGGGGAAGGACCCAGGAAGTGTGCCCTTGAGTGCATATTTTAGGAAGAGTGTGTTAGTTAAAAATTTTCCCCACATTCATGCCCAGATTCCATTTCCCAGTGAAGGCATTTAATCGGAGAATTTGTGAAGCATCCAGTCTCAAGAGCTGCAGTTCATCACATGCAAAATAAGGAAAGCCCCAGAAATCCCTGATTTTGGGCTTAGCACCCCACACTGACTGAACAGCGACAGGGCCATGTGGATGTCCCACAGCTGAGTCATACCTAGTGTCCTCGGCACCACTGCCTGCAGAGGGTTTTCTGTGAAAACAAAAGTCATTGCTTTGAGGACAAGGGACCGTTTGGCTCTGACACCCCTGAAGCAGTACTCCCTCCAAGAAAGAGCACTGTTATGTTTGAGATGTGGCTTGACTCTGTTCCCCAAGGGTCACCTACTGGAGATTTGGAATTTGGAGTGGTAATAAGAGGTAGCAGCAGAAAAGGAATAATGGAAGAGGAATAGCAGAAGCTCTTTACTGGCTCTTCCCTAGTCTATACAGCTTCCCGTCTCATAATAGATACCCCTCCCACTCTGATGTCATCTTTTTTGATATATCACCAAAACTGTGAGCTAAAACAATCTTTTTTTTTTTTTCATAATGTGTCGGATCTTGGCTATTTCATTTTAGTAACAGAAAGAAGACTAACACAAGTTCTGCCATCATTGGCCAGTGGAAAAGATCTATCAATACTTTTCCTGAAGTGCAGGGAATCCAGGAAATGTGGGAGGAAATGACTTCAGAATTCCCATGAATGTCATATATGACTATATCTAGCCATAAGCAATTCAGCCATTTCTCCAAATCCAGCATCATTTAAGTCCTTACTGTTTTGTGTGTGTGTGTGTGTGTGTGTGTGTGTGTGTGTGTGTGTGTGTATGCAGGCCACCTTCTGAGACAGAGACTCACTGGTCTGGAATTTGAAGAGTTGGTTGAGATGGCATCCTATGCTATGGAATACCTTCTTAGCTATGGGCTTACTAGCAAGTGCCACCACAGCTGGCTCTTTTAATGAGAGTTTTATGGGTGGAGCTCAGATTCTCGTGGCAGCATAGCAAGAGATTTACTGGCTGAACCCCCTCTCCAGCCCAACATTTTGGACTCAGTTATGGCAGAAGATACTATAAAGAAAAAGAAATTAAAATAATGGTTCTGGAGATGAAACTACTCAAGGGAAAAACGAGTGGACATTAGAAACACTAGAACTTTGTTCGGTCCCAGCATGGACTTTCTAGAGCTTTGATATGCTCTGGAAATGGAAAATTCCATCTAATTTGGAAGATAGGTGGGCAGGGGAAAAGTCTGATGAAGAATTTGAGGGAAAGCGATGGAAAAGTACAAAGAAGCTCAGCAGCAGGCATATTCAAAGTTTGTGTTCTTGGAAACATCTGGAAGTTTCCAGAAGTACTCCTGGCTGTCATATCTGGGATAAGAGATACTACTAGAATTGAGCAGCTGCGGACTAAGAATGCTGGTCAGCATCCTTTTGCCCAGGATGGGTTCCGCCACACAGAGTAGCAAGTATGGATCCAAGTATACAATGTTATGGTTGAGAGTCGTTCAGGCATAGAACCTTAAAATACAAGGAGCAATTACAAGCCCAGGGCATCCATGAGACCTACATTCTTGGGTTCAACCAACTATGAATCAAAACTATTTGTAGACCTGTCCGGCAAGATGCGCCCAGTGGCACGAGCATTACAAGAGGTAACCAACTGCTCTCAGAGATTTGAGGTCCGCTCCACAGGAGGGAATTCATGATTCAGGAAGCAATGGGCTCTAATTGGGAACCTACCATTGCTGCTTTGCTAAATGAACATGTTATCAAACTACCCTTTAAAATATTTTTGTTTATGTACGTACGTTAGTACTGTCTCAAACCTAATCAGAGAAACTTCCTTTTACACTTAGCAGAGACTGACAGCTGATCAGTGCTGAGAATAAGTAACCATTGAGTGTGCAGCAGTTAATCTGTATTAACTCCATTACCGTGGCTCAGAGAATGAAATACGCAGAAGTGGAGAGAATGGAAGAGCAGAGGATGGGGAGGAGTGCTATGAAATGCTATCTTTGGACATGACATGGCCATTGCACCCATGAACTCAGTGCAGCTGGGGTTACCTGACACAAGATCAATCAAGGTCACTCAACATTTCAGTGGGTCTAAAAATGAAGAGAAAGAGGAAGACAAGAACAACATGAAGGAGGCAGACAAGTTGATGGGAGTATAAGGGGAAAGTGAGGGTCAATATGATCAAGATACATGTATACATGTATGAAACTGTCAAAGAATGATTCTAGAAAGTTGTGTCATAGTGAACACATATAAGCATTTTTCTTGTTGTGGGGCCCATGTTACACAATATGGTGTAACAATTATTTATTTATATAGTATGTGTACTATCTGAAGATGTTATAAGTTATCTAAAGATGAAGGTATGAGTGGGTTCTTTGCAGATATTATGATGTTTATATAAGAGACTTGAGAATCTGTGGAGTAACCCTCGGGGTCCTGGAACCAATCCACTGGAGACACCAAAGGCCAACTGTGCTGTGTCAATTGTGCAGATGAGAAAGCTGGGGCACAGAGCAGTATGGTAACTTGCTCAGACCCGTACATGTAAGAGTAGAGAGCCCAAACGGACAGCTTCTAGAGTCCCTCTTATCAACAGCTCCACCATTCTGTAAGACATATGCATGGGATGGGCCTAGATCCAGCCATGTCTGCTGCTGTTTTCAGTTCAAATCAAGCACAAGAAAAGGAATAAACTTGTAACCCACAGGTGTATTTGTGTGCGTGCACACACACACATGCATATATAAGTGCACTGTCACCCACAGGCATATTTGTAATGGCACCCTCTCCAACACCAAGCTGAAAGACAGAAAGAAAGCCAGCACATGCTAAGTTCTGACCTGGGGACAAAAACCACATTATGCAGGTAATCCTCAAAGGTCTTCCTGAACGAAGACTCCTCCAGCTCCTTCAGGATCTGAGAGTCGGTCTTGGGGCAGGAGCAGCATTCGCTGGCCGAATCGTCATACTCACTCTGATTGTGCTTCTGAGAATCATCAGACTCAAAAGGTGGGGACCAGGTCCGTGAGGGGAGCTTCAGCCCTGGGGAGAGGCAGAGCAGAGGGCTCAATCTCTGCCAGAACACACACACACACACTGAGGTCAGAGGTCCATCTTGGGTGTCATTCCTTAGGCCACAGCCACAGCCCTTCATTGGGGACTCTAGGCAAGCACTCTATCACAAGCCATGTTTCCAGACCTTTCCTCACTGAGACGGGGCTTCACTATGTTATCCAGTCTGACACTGAACTCACTCTGTACCCTAGATTTGCCTGGTGTCTCATTCCTGCATCCTCACCCTCCCAAAGGGTCAAATTACAGTCTTATAACACCAGTTCTGGAGTTATTGTGTGTGCTTGTGTGCATTCTGTGTGTATATGTATATATGTATATGTATATAACATATGTATATATGTTACCTGTATCTATGTACTCTCACCTATGTGGGTGAATACAAATGCCAGAGGTTGATAGTGAGTGTCTTCTATGACCATTTCTTCATCTTTTTATTGTTATTATTAAGTTAATTTTATGGGGGAGCAGAACAAGCCAAGTTACACATGTGGAGATCAGAGGAACACTCAGGAATCTATTTTCTCCTTCCACCATGCGGATTCCAGGAATTAAAGTTAGTCTGTAAGACTTGGCAGCAAGTACCTTTACTTCCTGATACATCTGCCAGCCCTCCACCTTACTTACTAGACAGTCTCCTACTAAACTTGGGCCTCATACTTGCTAGGCTGGCTGGCTAGCACACTCCAGAGGTCTGCCTGTCTCTGCCTCCGCAGTGTGATGTCTACAGATGCATGCCACCACACCCAGCTTTCTTCTACATGGGTGTTGGGGACCCAAACTTAAACCCTTGTGTTTTTGTACAGCAAACCTGTTATCCAGCATCATTTCCTTAGACCTGAATTTACCACAATTAAAAAAAAAAATCAGTTGGTGACACTAATAGAAAGCTATTACTGGTGATTTATTTACACGACTGAAAGTATGATTAAATAAACACAAAACGTTGCCATTTAACCTTGTGTTGGTATACAGTCAGAGGCACTGTACATTTACAGTGTGGCACAATCATTGCCTCATTCAACACTGACTCTCCATTTCCTCCTAAACTGGCCTCCATACTCTGCCTTCATCCATATAAATTTGACTATAGTTAGGCCTCCCTGTGAGTCTAAGCTCTTGGGGGCTGGTGAAATGGCTCCATGGGTAAAGTGGCTGCCATGTAAGCATGAGGACCTGAGTTCAATCCCTAGCACCCACATAAAAACCAGACATAATAACACTCATCTTACTCCCCAGTGCTAGGAAAGTAGACACAGGAGGATCCCTGGAACTCGCTGGCGAGCCAATCTAGCCAAATTGGTGAGCACTGAGTTCAGTGATAGACCCTGCCTCAAAAAACAAGGTGGAAAGTCACAAAGCAAACATCCAACATCAACCTCAAACACAGCCCTATGCATGTTTCCAGCAGAGTGTGGATCTGTGTATGCATGTGTGTGGGGAGATGGCTCAGTCCAAACACACGAGTAGAAATATGTATGCACGCATAAACACACATGTGCAAATAAATTCTATGATGATCAAATATCAGACCATTTTTAAACAGTCCTTTGTATTCATGGATTTAAAGTGGTTTTATGTTTGTTCTGAGACAGGGTCTCGTATAGCCCTGAATGGCCTCAAACTTGCTATGTAGGTAATGATGATGTTAAATGCCTGACCTTCCTGCCTCCACTTCCCAAATGCTACAGTTGCAGGCCTGTGCCACCACACTGGGTCTGTGTGGTGTTGGGAATGGACACGGAATTTCTTGCATGCTAGGAAGCCCTCTACCAGGCAAGCTATACCCTCAGCCTCTGCAATCACGAGTTTCCATTTGCAGAATGAAAGTTTGCTGCGTTTAGCCTGGCACTGTAGAGAACACCTATCATCGTAGCACTTGAGTTTGAGGCCAACCTGGGTCACATGAAACCTTGTTTAAAAAAAAAACCAAAACCAAACTTTTTCTAAAAGTTAGTGGGTTTTTTAAACAAGACAAAAACAAGCAAACAAAGTCTTGGCACTGCTGGAAGCATGGGTAGCAGGTGGTTTTGTACACTCAAATGTAGAGCCGACAGGTCAGAGCTGAGCCCAGGACTGGGCTTGCTCTCAAGTTATATAAAGTATGCAAGGAGATAAATCAACTTGCTGATCCTGGCCCAGACGGGCATGATGTCACAGGCATGCATATAGCACATGATCTTAGAGTTGGGACTGTTCCCAGGAATCATCTGTCCTCCACCCCTTCTCCACAAAAGGAGACAGACTACTTGCTGCGTGACTTAGCCAAAACCAGACACCAGGCCAGGGGTGGATCTGAGCACACCTCAGCCACACCTCTCCGGCAGCCCCCTTGGCCTGCTTCTGCAAGGTCACAGGCCAGCTAAAAGGAATCAAAGACAAAAGTCACAACTAAATGAACAGCAAATTTTCACCTTCTCAGATCTGATGGTGGATTGCGGCAGTTTGTTTCGTTTTAATACATTTAGTGTGGTGTGTGTGTGTGCGTGCATGCCATTGTAGGAGGAGGGTCAGATTATAACTTTTGGCCCTGAGTACTCTCTTTGCACCATGTTGGTCTTAGGGATCACTTGGGTCATCAGGCTTGGCAGCAAGCACCTCTATCCACCGAGGCATCTTGCTGCCCCATCCGCCAGGTTTCTTTTTCGATAACCCACCTTTAGCTATTGTGAAATATACGATACAGTGACCATGCAAGACAACTCTAGAACAGTTGCTATAGCTACTACTTTGGCAGCCTGTCAACTAGGCTTCTCCACTGTGCTTGTGCAGACACAGGTACACCTCAGGCTCTATAACCAGTGGTGGAAAGATTTTGAATGTTTCTATCACACGGAAATAGTGAAGACATTCACTACTCAGATTTGCTTTTTACATATTTTATGTATGTCTATGCACTGTGTGGCTCACGGCTGAAAGAAGCATTGGATGTATTTCACCATTATATCTCGTCCTTGTTCGTGCTGCAGTCCGCAGACTGCACCCAGGACTTCGGACACTCTGGGAAAGTGCTCATCACACAGCGCTGCATTTGGATTTTTGGCAGCCTTTAAAGTGTGAATCCACGTGCAATGTCTAAAATGTGTGTGTGCACTGGGGAGATGGTGAGTGTGAATCCATGTGCAATGTCTAAAATGTGTGTGTGCACTGGGGAGATGGTGAGTGTGAATCCATGTGAAATGTCTAAAGATCTATGTGTGTACTAGGAAGATGGCAAAGGCAGGGGTCCAAGTTTGATCCCCAAAACCCATGTAAAAAGCTGGTTGTGGTGGGGTACATTTGTAGTACATTTGTAATCTGAATGCTGGGAAGATGGGGAAAGGCAAATTCTTAGGGGTCACTCATTAGCACAGGCTAGTGAAAGATCCTGTCTCAAATAAAAATAAAAATCCACAAAGCGAGGGCTGGGCTGTAGCTCGGAGGCAGAGTACTTGTCTAGTGTGCATGAGGCCCTGGGTTCAGTGCACAGTACCAAAATCTTAAAAACTGAACAGGTAAAAAAGCTTGCCCCCATACTGCTTGTGTTTGATCCCTGGTGCCCACATGGCTGGCAAGACAAAAGACTCCTGCAAGCTGACCTCTGACCACTAACCTCCTCACACATGTCCGCCCACACAGAAAGACTAGGTAAATCAGTAAATGGAATAAAGTATTTTTAATTCAAAGAAAATATGGGATGGGGATGTAGCTCTGTTGGGGTAATGTTAGCACCCATGCAGTCATGCGTTTGAATTTCTGACCCCGCATAAACTCAGCATGGTGATACAGTCCTGTAGCCCCAACACTTAGGAGGCAGAGGAAGGAAGAGCAAAAATCCAATGTCTTCCTCAGCTACATAGTAAGTTTAAGTTCAGTGGTCTTTGTGAGACCCTGTCTCCAAAAAAAAAAAAAGTTTAAAAATAAGGTACACAGCATTCTTGAACATACATCCAAAGTTGTTCTTTGAGCTCTACATTCTACACATACACGCACACATGATCTGTACACACACACATATGCACATACGCACACACACATAAACACAAAGTGTGTCTTATGTGAGAAAGAATGGAATATGAGCAAGTGTGCACATGCACATGTATGTGTGTGTGTGTAAGCACACATGCTTGTGCGGGTACCCTGGGAAACAGGAAAGAAAACCTGTGTCCCCATAAGAGAATCAAGATACAGCAACCGCATGACAGTTGCCTGTGCTCACCTTTGAGACAATAATCCAACTCGAATAGCTCACTGTCCTCTGCCTGCCTCTCCCAGTAGACCAAGTAGTGTGTGATGTTGCCGTTCGGGTCAGAGGGGGGCTTCCATTTTAAGATAATCTGAGATGAGGAATTAGAAACCGATATGGGGTCCAGGGGGACAGAAGGATCTGCAAAGGAGAAAAGAAATGAGTTACCATGAAGGAGAGCAGGTAAGTTGTTGGGTGTACCTAAGCAGGGGATTGTGGTCCAACTGAAACCAAAGCTCTGTCTGCTAGAGTTACTTAACATCAGAGAAAAGTAGGCAGTTAAATGCTTGCCCAGCCCAGGCGGGAATGACTGCCTATTCACACCGTGGATTCTGTGCCCACCATGTGTCATTCACTGCACAGACTGGCTCTGTCAGATGCCAAAGCCCTTGCTGTTGTGGACACTAGGAAGGATGTTCCTGGGGCCAAAGACAATCGAGGGAAGAAATGAATTCTGGTTAACAGGGGAACGAAATCAAACCCAGTCACCGAACGCACTTGAAACCATCAAACTATATCTGTTTTTGAGACAGGCTCTCATGTAGCCCAGACTAGTCTCAAACTTGATAATGTAGCCAAGGATGTACTTTAACTCCTGTTTCTTCTACTTACCTCATGCATGCTTGGATGAGAGACATGCACCCCAATACCTGGTTTATATGGTTGTGGCGATTTAACCTAGGAATTCATACAAGCAAGGGAAGCACTCTACCAAGCCAGCCACATACCCAGCCCCAGATGGTGTTATTCAGATGTCACGCACCAGCCTACAAAACACAACCTAAACTCCCCCTCTGAAGAACAGTGGTACCTGAGGCTAGGTAGATGGCTCAGTGGTGATGCACTTGCCACAGAAGCATAAGGACAGGTCAGATCCCCAGCACCCACAGAAAGCCAAGTAGCGACGGCTGTAGCACCCTATCTATAAACCCGGCAGCCAGAGACAGAGGATCAGCAACCTCTGGGTGTACTGAGAGAGCCTGCCACAATATATAAGATGGAAAACAATTGAGGAAGACTCCAGTGTCAACCTCTGGCATATGCCACATTCAAATATGATACACACATGCAACCACATGTGTGCACGCACACACAGAATGTTGGAGGCTGAGAGAGTTGGAGAGGGTGAACATGGAGTTCTCAAGGCAAAAGCAAAAAGTGTGCAAAGAGTGGGGGGTAGAAGGTTCTGGAAACTAAACTTTGGTCTAGATACTACATGACAGTAGAGATGGTGAAGAAGCTAGAACAATGGATTCTGTTCTGTGTGAGGGGGTTGCTATTCTCTACTTGCTGACATTTGGGGCAGAGACCTCTTGTCAACCATTCCACTTCCCAACTGTGACAGTAGAAATGTCTTTAGACATTGCCAGGCATCCTCCCTTCCCTGGGAGGAACAAAATTATCCCTACTTGAAAACTACTAAGCTAAGAAAAGGGGTTAATCTGGACAGAAATATAATGAAGTTGCTATGAGACACTATAGCCAGAAAGAAAAAAATAAAGAAAAATTAAAGAGAAAGGAGACGAGAGTGGAAATAAAACAAGATTGCGCCCTATGGAAGCTGGGAGATGCTCAAATGAAGGCGCTGGGAGATGCTCAAATGAAGGCGCTGGGAGATGCTCAAATGAAGGCACTCTTTCTATACTTGAAAAGTTCTCATGACAGAATAGAAAAAACATGCAGTAGTCCCTCCTTATCTATGTGGCACATTTTATAACTGCAGTGGATATCTGAAACCACATACAGCACTGAACCATCAATGCTTCCCCATATTACATACCTATGATAAACCTTTACTAATACAAAATAACAGCAATAATAAAACAACTAAAATAATATATAGTAACAGAAGTTTCTTTTGTTGTTATTTTCTGGGAGCTTATTGTTTGTTTGTTTGTTTGCTTGTATGTTTTTAAGACTGAATCTTGGTCCTGCCTTGAAGTGATGTGTCCGACTTTGTTGATTCCCCATGGGAAGTCTTACCCTTTCTGAGAAGTGGATGGCGGGGGAGGTGAGGCAGGAGGAAGGGAGGGAGTGGGAACAGAGATAGCTATATAAAATGAGAAAAGATTGTATTAAAAAAAATTCTTACATCAAAAAAAGAAAGGACTGGATCTCACATAGTCCAGGCTGGCTTCAAACTCAGTATGTAGATAGAGATGACCCTGAACTCCTGACCCCTGCCTATACTTTGGTGCTGTTTTGAGATTGTAACAAGGTCTTGATACATAGCCCAGGCTAGTTTCAAACACACAGCAATTCTCTTGCCTCAGCATCCCAAGTAATAAGACTACAGATGTGTATAACCAAGTCTAGCTCTCATTTTTAATTAACTAATTATTTACTGATTGAATTAACCTCTCCAAAGATAGGTCTCACTGTGTAACCCTGCATGGCCTAAAAGTCACTACTTAGACCAGGCTGAGCCTGAACTCAGAGATCCATTTACCTCTGCCTCCCAAGCAAAGCCTCTCGCCTCCCCATGACAAGTGTTGAAGACAGTCTTGTGCAGGTAACCACAGATGCTGAGTTCAAGAAGGTATGTGTTAATATATGTGTGGTGTGTGTTCATCTGTGCATGTGTATATATGTGTGTGCATGTATGTGCATATATGTGTGTGCATTGCATTAGTGTGTACCTGTATATTGTAAATGGTTATGTGTGATGTTATATGCATGTTATATATGACCTATGTGTTACATGGGGTGTCTGTGTGAGTGTTATAAGTAGTATGTGTGTATTACATGTAATATGTATGTTATATGTGGTATGTGTGCATGTTACGTTTGGTGGATGGGTGTGCATCTCTATGTGTGTGTGTTACTATATAGTATTGTGCTATATGTGGTGTGTGTGTTAACTGGAGTGTGTGCGCTATATGTGATGTATGTGTGTTATATATGTGAAGTGTGTGTTGCATGTGGGGTGTGTATGTATGTATGCATGTGTGTGTTAGATGGGTAGTGTCTATGCATGTGCTGAGGCCAGAGGAGGAAGTCAGGCACACCATTCTATCACTGTCTACCTTACTCTCTTGAAACAGGATCTTTCACTAAAACTAAAGCTAGGCTGGCAGCCATCAAATCCTAGTGACCCTCTTGTCCCTGGCCCATGAGCCAGTGTTCTGGGGTTATAGACATGCTCATGGCCACACTCTGAGGCACGAACATGGTCACTACCAGCTTTCAATGTAGGTGATGGGAACAGCACTCAATGTCCCCACTGAGCCATCTGCCCAGCCCAAGTGTTATCCTCTGGAAATATGAGCCTCAGCCTTTAGCTCCTCCTGAAGCCAATCACAGGACATCACTAAGTTGTCTACCAAAGGCAAGAGAGTCAGTTCAAGCGCATATTCACAGGACACACTTACTGGTGGCATCTGTCTGCACATAGATGATGTCACTTTTGGCTCCGTAGGTCCGGCGTTCATCTGAGAAGGTAACCAAGGTCTTGACAAAGATGGCATATTGGGTCCAGGGCTTGAGACCCCGCATTAGCCACCCAGGGTGGCTTGGGGTTTGAGACTTGGGGTCGTTGGACCTCTGGGGTGGGTCAATATCTACCACAGTCCAGCTGTTGGAGCCACAAGCATCCTGACCATCAAACTCCGTCACATTCTGATAAGGGCTTTTGAGAAATAAGAGGGAGAGCTAGGTTACTACTGTGTAAATGTCAATCCAGCACTATGTGGAGTGGGGACTTGGAGAGTTACAAGACGTAGACTCACTTCTTTTCTGTTTGGTGTGTGTGTGTGTCTGCCTGTATGTGTTTGTGGCAGTTCACTTGAGTGTATGTGAATGGACATAAAGGAAACAATCAGGTGTCATCTTCCTTGTTTTTTCTGTTTGTTGAGACAGACTCTAGTCCCGGCCGGCCTCTTGTCTCCTCATTATTGGGATTAATTGCATTCACACTTGATTCCCACCTTGTGATTTGAGATAGAGTGATCTTCTCTGGCCTGAAATTCACCTCATAGACTAGGCTAGCTAGCCAGAGACCCCAAAGATCTGCCCATTTCTGCTTCCTTGGAGCTGGGATTTCAAGTGTATTCCATGGCTTTCTGAAAGTGAGAATGTGTATATGAGTGTGTGTAATTGTATGCATGTGCCTTCAGGGGACAGAGGAAAAAGCTGGATCCCCTGGATCCCTGCATCTGGCGACTGTGAAATGCCAGACTTGGATGCTGGAAACCAAAGTGGGGTCCTGGAATGCAGTGAGCACCTGTTGAGCCTCCTCTCCAACCCCCAGAAGTGAACCTTTTCCTATTTCCAATTCTGAAATGCAGGTCTGCTCCAAAGCCAGCAGCACTGAGGTGTGATAAGCCCATGACGCTGACTCCAGTCACGGAGCACCGAATCTCAGCCTACCAAATAAATAGCCATAGCGTAAATGACTAAGACCACAGCAAAACCAGTTGGGGTTTAGTAACGAAGGTGCCGTCGATGAATCTCCTTTCTACTTCTTTCCTTCCCACCCCAACATTGTCTATTTACTATATTCTCAATATGAGTTATCAACATATGACCACTGGGCCTGGGGAGAGGACTCAGTAGGCAAAGCATGTGATGTACAAACATGAGGACCAGAGTTCAATCGCTAGCACACACGTAAAGGTCAGCATCTGTAATCCCAGCACTAGGAAACAGAGACAGGTACATCTCTAGTCTGAATAAAAAGGAAGATGGAGGAGAGCTATGAAATGCTGACTTCTAGACATGACATGGTTGCTGCACACATCAACTCAGACCAGCTGTGGTTGCCTGCACCAGATCAAGCCAGTCAACATTCCAGCATGGATGATAGAGGACTTCAAGGTACTCCCTATCCAAGGAGTAGTATGTAACTGCTAAGAGAGTCTAAGTCACTCTCCTTTGGGAACATGGGCACTGATAGACTGTTCATGCTCCAGTGGATGGGTCCACATGCATGGGCAGCACCAGCTGGATTAATGGGGTTGTCAACAACACACAGAGAACACGAAGTTGGGAGGAAAATAGGATGAACAAACTAGGGAATGTTGGAGGCAGAAAGTGGTGGGTAGATACGATCAAACATACATTACATAAATATATGAAGATTTAAAAGCACACCTTAAGATATTTTCTTATTTTAAAGGAGAGTGTGAACTAAGCACCAGTTCATCTCTCCACTTCCTGACTGCAGGTGCAGTGTATCCAGCTGCTTCACACTCCTGCTACCATGATATCCCCACCTCACAAGCCGTGAGCCAAGATAAGCCCTTCTTTACAACTTTGTCTGTCCCTGCAATAAGGAGCATAACGAATAGTCCGCCTCCTTTTACTTACGCCTCTTTGTAGAAAAGCATGAATCCCAAGAGGTCTCGGAAGTCGGGGGGCCAGTAGGGCTCCCACCTCAGCAAGATCTTGTCAAAAGATGTCCGAATGAAAGAAAATTTAAGTAACTCATTTTCACCTAGAAACGTTCAAGAGAAAAAAGTCAGGCAATTGGAATTCTGAATAGCTCATTTCAGAATAAAGAATTCAGCCTCCTGCTTCTTGGGGAGGGGATAGATTGAGGCATGGAGGGAGTCCTAGCTTCATTTTGTAGCTGTGATAAAATACTGTGACAAAAAGCAACTTAAGGAGGAGGAATTGTTTGATTGTTTGTTAGGTGAGAGTCTATCATATTTCAGGGAAATTAGACAGGAACTCAAGCCGTTAGTCATATCTTATCATCCACTGTCAATAACAGAGAGAGATGAATGCATGGGGGGTGCCTGCTTGGCGCTTATACTTAGCTAGCTTTCTCCATCTCATATTGTTCAAGATCCAGGCCATGAAACAGCTCTTCTCACTTCAATTAACAGTCAAAATAAGCCCCAAGTCAGCAAAGCCTACTTGATGAGCTCTGGGCCAGCAAAAAACCACCAAAATGACCAACTGTCATCCAAGAAAATGCTCCACAGATAAGCCTACAGACCAACCTGATCTGGACAGTTCCTCAATTACAATTATTTTTCCAGGTGATTCTAGATGGTGCCAAGTTGAAAATTAAAATGGGGTGTATATAATCTGCTATTGCTTACATAGGTCTCATCCACATAAGCAGAGAAATGATCTTGCTGAGTTTGAAAGGTGGGGAGTCAGCAAATCAATTAGGTGTTGAAGACTCAACCAAATAAGATGCTCAACTTCTGTGAATGATCCATGCCAAAGCAAAAAGGACAACTAGCCGGCCATTTTTTCAGCAAAGGGATCATATCTTTTTTGTGTATGTATACATGTGTATGCAAGTTCATGTATGTGCAGGAGTGATGTCTAATCTTAGTTGTCAACTTGACACACCTGGGAAGAGGGAATCTCAAATGCAGAACTTCCTCAGTCAGATTGGCCTGTTGGCCTCTGGTCATGTCTGTGAAGCAAGGAAGGAAGGACCCAGGCTACAGTATGCAGAGCCATCCGTAGGTAGGTGGCCCTGGGCTGTATAAAGAAGTTAGCTGACAATAAACAGCACTCTTCCATGGTCACTGCTTCAGTTCCTGCCTCTAGATTTCTAACTTGAGTTCTTGCCTTGACCTCCCTGAATGATGGATTGTGCCCTAGGAATGTAAGATAAAATAGACACTTTCTTTGTCAAGATACTTTTGGTCAGAGCAACAGAATTGAACCATCGCTCTAGCCTCAAACTTAATCTTGTCATTTCTTCCCTGGTGATGGAGATTGCTGCATTGATTTCATCAACCTTGACACCCTCGGCATTAGCTTTATGCTTATGGGGCATCAGACACTGTACTTTGTGCAGCTGACTCAGATAAGATACATAAAACCTGCCTCTGGTAGGCTGGGGAGACAGTTCACTTGGTGAATGCTCTCTTTGTAAGGTTGAGGGCCTGAGTTATGTCCCCAGAACCTCATTTTAAAAAAAAAGTCGAGGGGGGGGGGATAAGGGAAGAACAAACAAAAAGAAAAATCTGTGGTGGTTTGAACGAGAATGGCCCCTATAGGCTCATATGATTGAATGCTTGGTCTCCAGTTAGTGAAACAGGGGAATCCCTAAATAAAGACCGGAACAGACCATTGTGTGAAGCTGTGAGGATGAAACCTGGACAGCACTGGAGACCCCAAGATGCTGGAGATGCCAGAGCCATGGGATAACTGTCAAGGATAGTTGCCCAAGAGCACCAAGTGTGTTGCATCCAGCAAAGCTGGAAAGGAAGAACTGTCTAACACAAAATTTGGAGTTTGCCCAGCTAGCCTTTAATCTTGCTTTGGTCCAGTATTTCCTCACTATGCTCTCCTTCCTCCCTTTTGGAATGAGTGATGTCCTCTGCCACTAAATGTTGCAAGTATGTGATCTGTTTTTTGATTTTACAAGAGGTTATAGTTAAGAGACTTTCTTGCATATCAGAAGAGACTTTGGATTTTTATTTTTTATTATTTATTTATTTGTTTGTTTGTTTTTCAAGACAAGGTTTCTCTGTCTAACAGTACTGACTATCCTAGAAGTCACTTTGTAGACTAAGCTGCCCTCGAACTCACTGAGATCCATCTGCCTCTGCCTCCCAAATACTGGGATTAAAAGCATGTGCCACCACTGCCCAGCAAGACTTTGGATTTTTAAAAAGTGTTGAAACTGTGGGAAACTTTGGAGGCTTTTGAAGTTAGAATGGATACATTTTGCACAGGGAGTAGACTGTGATGGTCTGAATAAGAACGGCCCCATAGGTTCATATGGTTACATGCTTAGTCCACAACGGAAGTGTTTGAAAAGAATTACAAGGTGTGGCCTTGTTGTAGGAAGTACATCACTGGTGGTGGGGTTTGAGAATCAAAAGGCCATGCCAGGTCCAGTTTCTCTCTTCTCTCTACCTGCTATGTATCAGGATATAAGCTCTCAGCCCCAAGCCTGCCTATCTACTGCCAGGCTTCCCACCATGATAATGGACTAAGCTTCTGAAACTATAAGCCAGCTCAATTAAATGTTTTCTTTTATAAGAAATGCCTTGGTCATGAGTCTCTTCAGAGTAATAGGACACTGATTAAGATAATGGTGCACACTCCCAACCCCAGCACTGAAAAAGCAGGAAAGGCAGATCTCTGTGGTCCTCTGACCAGACACACAAAGCCTACTGATGAGCTCTAGGCAGCAAGAAACCCTATCTAACAAAAAAGAAAAACAGTGGATGATGCCTAGGGAATGACACCTAAGGTTGTCTTCTGTCCTACACACACACACACACACACACACACACACACACACATATGCACACACATACACACCTGCCTTTGGTATTTTAAAACTCCTCTCCCAGAAAGCTGTAGCTCAACAAAGGACAATGACACTTTCCTGGGGACTAGGGTGGTGGCTGAGAGAGGGCAGCCATTAGGAACATAACGATGAAGAGACTTACAGGATGCCTGGTCCCCATTGGTCTTCAGGGCAATATCGTTCCTCTCCTGGCGGCCCTTAGTTCCAGAAATCTCTTCCATCTTATGGATTTCTGACAAGCAGAGTTTGGGGTTGTAGTGGAAGAAGAGCTTGCCCTGAGTGATGGTGAGGTTGTGCTTGCTCCAATCCCAGAGCTGCCTGAGGTTCTGGTTGTCCAAGGCATAGAAAGAGTAGTTCCTGCAGATACACACACAGCTAGTCACTCCACAACCCATTGTCTTCAATCCCAAAACGCCAGGGGCCACAGTACACACAGTGGGTTGTAATTTTGTTTTAAAAGAAAAGAAATGAACTTGAGAGGGAGTAGGGGTGGGATGGATCTATAAGGAGTAAGAGGGAGGTGTAGGGGCTGATTATGATCACAATATACTGTATGTATATAAGAAATTCTCAAGAATTAATTGTAAATATCACAGTTAAAAAAAAAAACTAAAAACTAGGCATCAAGGGCCAAGCCTGGAGTTGGCCCCTTCAGTTTAGCTGTGGGCCCACTTCTAGCCATTTTCTTCACACAGACTCACAAATTATTTTTGGGACTGTGGAGAACAAAGAAATTCACAAGATTTCATGGCCAGGAATGTACAGAGCACTCTCCTAGAATCCCTCAGTGAGGAACTAGGGGTGCAGCTAAGGGGTAGAGCTTCTCCTTAGAATCCCCTAGTGAGGCTGAGGGCATGGGTCAGGAGTAGAGCGTCTACCTAGCGTCGCCCAGTGAGGGGCTGGGATGTGGCTCAGTAGTAGAGCCCCTGCCTATGATCCCCCAGTGAGGGTTTGGAGGCATGGCTCAGTGCTAGAGTGCTTGCTTAGGATGCACCAGGCAGTAGATTCAATAATCAATATAACAAAATAAGAGGGAAAAGAAAAGGAACTAGAGAAGAAAGAGGAAGTAAAGTTGAAGGAGCAGGTAGAGGTGGAAAGGGAGGTAGGGATTGGGGTCAGAATGGGTTTTGGAAGTATAAAAAAATATGACCCAGGCAATAAAAATAGGAACAGAAATCAAGTTTGGGGACAAAAAGTATGAAAGGTTTTAAGCCTGTTTGGTTTGGTTTTGTGTTGTGCTTCTGTTTGTTTGTTTGTTTGTTTGTTTTTAGAAAGGGTCTCACTGTGCAGCCCTGGCTGGCCTTAGAAATCACTGAATAGACCAGGCCAGGCTAGCCTTGAGAATTGCCTGCTTTCACCTCCCAAGCGCCCAGCTGTGTGGCTCTGCTTTAAGACAGCGTGGATTGGCATTCCTTTTGCCCCTTTCCCTATTGGCTGCTGCTTTTACAGCTATGAGGCTGGGAAAAAGGCACCCATTTTGTGCCCATGAGAGACACAGAGAATCTAACTTCTCCATTGCATTTCTGAATGATCTTTCTGCTCATGAGTTTATCTCTACTTCTCAAAACACCACACACCAGATTTCTGTTTGAGCAACTTAGGCAGGTTCTGTGGGACCTGGAGGAAAGCACAGCAAATGAGAGTCCAGAAAAAAAGGATGGATAACCAGGGTCAGAAGGACATTTGCTGTATCTGAAGTTCCCGGTGGTCACCTGAGGAAAGCTACAGAGACAGGCTTGGGGTTGTGGGAAAGGAAAGAATTGGGACTGAGTATTTTGGCTTATATAGGGCAAGATCCCAAGACACAGGCCATGGCCAAGAGCCCACACTGCCACCTCGAGAAAGATATGGAGACTGAGAGGAAAATGAGAAAGGATACCTAGGGGTGAGTGGAGAATGCCTTGAGGAAATGGAATTCCAGGGGCCAGGAGAGATGAGGATCTCAACAAAGAGCAGGGGTGGTCTCTGTTAAGAAGTTGGTGAACAAAAGTTCTTGGGGTTGGGGAACACCATGAACACGACATCTTATGTTGAGCCTTCTACAACACTGATTAATTGGTTCAAATTTCAATAACTGTGGAGAGATTGGAGTGTTGCAGGTCCAAAGTCTAATTACACTTTATCCTGGTCTGTCTTGAACTCTCCTCACAGTCACTCCTTGCCCACCTGTGTCTGACCAAATACCCCGTGGCTTGCATGTAATAGCATGTAGTATCCTTAGGAATGTACTAGTGTAGCAGAGCATTAGCTTCCATGAACCAAAACACTACGGATGTCATCGGAGAATACCTGAGGCCTATAGCAGAGACTTCTCTGGTTTGCTGTTAAGCATCTCTTTGATGTGTCTACCAACATCTTTTAAAAGGACCTTGGTTTGGGACTTTATGTGTTCTATTAGTATAAAACTTCAGCCGGGTGGTGGTGGCGCACTCCTTTAATCCCAGCACTTGGAAGGCAGAGGCAGGCTGATCTCTGTGAGTTCGAGCCCAGACTGGTCTAAAAGAGCTAGTTCCAGGACAGGAACCAAAAGCTATGGAGAAACCCTGTCTCGAAAATAAAAAAAATAAAAATAAATAAATAAACAAACAAACAAACAAACTTCATGAGACTGTTACCACATTGGAATATGCAATTTGGGATTACCTTTATCGATGTTCCTGGGCCATGCTATTCACGATTGGCTCCAGAATAAACTATCTCTTATCACTTTGCAGTGAGAGTAGGAGTTCTGTATTGACAGAACCAAGAAGTTTCCAAACATGGCTGTAACAAGGTATTTATCACACTCCATTCTCAGTGTAGCTGCGACAGATACACACGCCATTAGCAAATCCCAGCCTCTGGCTTCCCAGGAAGACTGGAAAGTAGACTTTTGTGTTTCCTAGCTGGATGGACATTCAGGAGTGCTACAGAGACCGTCACCTAACAGATGCTTCATTTTGCTTCAGTTAGGTTTTTAAAAAACAAAAAATCCTAAAGGGTGCCATTTGTGCACGTGTGTTCATGAGTGGGGAAGACAGAGGAAAACCTTGCTGCCATCACTTATACCTCATCCACCCTGGTTTTCCGAGTCAGGGTCTCCCACTGGCCTCTAACCTGATAAGCAGGTGAGGACTGGCCGGCCAGGGAAGGCCAATGATCCACCTGTTTTTTCTTTCCAACACTAGTAGGTTCCTTTTTTTAAACCTGTGATCAAACTCAGGTCTTAACGTTGCAAAGTAAGCAGTTTACCCAATGAACCACCTCCCTATCCCTCTGTTGTCTCATCCACGAGTTTCTTGGTTGGCAGCCACAAACATAGCCAGGTTCACATACCCGATTTCCAAGGTCTCTCCTCGAATCAGATGTAGCTTCCGGAAGAAAGAAAGCGATACTAGAGCATAGGAGCGCCGGATCTTTAGGAACCCTGAGATTTCTTCAATGAGGCCAAGGTTAGCCTCCAGCTCAGCTGCCAGATTGTCTACAGAAAAGAGGAAACACCCATGAGTGTCTGCAGGAATTTTTATCCAGTGTGTGTGTGTGTGTGTGTGTGTGTGTGTGTGTGTGTGTATCTATGTCTGTGTGTCTGAGTGTCTGTGTGTGTGTTCCTGCCTTCCTGGTGTGTGTGTATTCCTACCCTTCTGGTGTGTGTGTGTGTGTGTGTGTCTATGTATGTGTTCCTGCCCTCCTGTTTGTTTGTGTGTGTATGTGTGTGTGTGTATGTCTATGGATGTGTTCCTGCCCTCCTGTTTGTGTGTGTGTATGTGTGTGTTTCCTGCCCTCCTGGCGCATGTATATGTGTGTTCCTGCCCTCCTGGTGTGTGTGTATATAAGTGTCTGTGTGTTTGTCTCTTTCTGTATTTGTGTGTACCAGCCCCCCTATTGTGTGTGTGCGCATGTGTATGTGTGTGCGTGTGTGTGTGTTCATGCTATCTGTTATCTCAGCACTCAGGATGTGACAAAAAGGGGATTAGGAGTTGAAAGTCACCTATGACTACATAGTGAGTTTGAAGCAAACCTACAATACAACACGCTTGCTTTTATTTTATTTTTTTTAATATTTATTGACTTATTATATACACAATGTTCTGTCTGTGTGTATGCCTACAGGCCAGAAGAAGGCACCAGACTTCATTACAGATGGTTGTGAGCCACCATGTGGTTGCTGGGAATTGAACTCAGGACCTTTGGAAGAGCAGGCAATGATCTTAACCTCTGAGCCATCTCTCCAGCCCTATTTTATTTATTTATTTATTTATTTATTTATTTATTTTTGAGACAAAGTCTCATGAAGTCCAAATTGGCCTCAAATTTACTATCTAACCAACGATACCCTTGAACTTCTGACTTTTGTGGCCTCACTCCCCCAGTGCTTCGATTTCACCAGTATGCCAATATGCCCTAGCGGTATAATACTGAGAACTAAACCCATGAATGCTACTTACTGACCTACAGCCCTATCCATACTAAAGTTCTTCTAGCCTGGAGGCTTTTTCTTTATTTATTTCTTTGACACGGGGTCTCATGTAGTCTAGGCTGGCTTCATACTCACACTGCAGCCAAGAGGAGCTTGAACTACTCCTACCTCCATCTCCTGAGTACTGGAATACAAGTGTGAGCCAGCAGACTCAGTGCAGATTGGTAAGAACACAGATTCCTAGGGCTGTACAGATGGCCCAGCAGTACTTAAGAGAATCTGCTGCTCCTGCAGAGAACCTGGGTTCAGTACCCAGCACCCACACGGCAGTTCACAACCATCTGTAACTGCAGTGCCCACTTCTGGCTTTTGAGGACACCACAAACACATAGTACATACATGGAAAGAAAACACTCAAACACAAAAAATAAAAAGAATAGATTCCTGATGCAGATTGGAAAATAAGAATTCCTGGAAAACACAGAGCCAGGAACTTTCCGTTTCAGATTTTAAGGCAACTCCTGTTATGAGTCTCCTATTTAGAGGGCCACTGAGGGACGTGTCACTTTGTTTGCTTGTTATGTTGTTTTGTTTCTTTAGATAGGATTATGTTACCCAGGCTGGTCTGAACTTTCTAGATTCAAGCAATCCTCCTGCCTCAGCCTCCTGAGAAGCTGAGACCACAGGACCCAAGTGAATAAGGCCGTGAAAGTTGAGAGCGGAAAGTGTGGAATACTCTGGGCTCTGTGCTTCCCTGCTCACAGTGTACAGTAAGAGGGGGACCCTCCTAGGAGTACTCACTGCCTCCTCGAATGTTGATGATCAGGCTGCCATTGATCACAGTGCAGCCTCGGAGCTCCTGGGCAGATGTCACAGAGTCAATGGTCTTCTCGCCATCGAGGATTTGGCAGACCTTAGGGCAGGGTCCCAGACATGGGGTGCACATCAAGCTGAGAATGGAGCAGAGAAAGAGAAACAGATCAATCGGGTGCATAGGGTTCCTTCACCCACTGTGTGGAATACAGCACAAAATGACTACCACTTGCAGAATATTTGTTTACACTGTAAAGATGGAGCTTTGTCAAGGTGCCTTCTGATTGGTTTAATAAAGAGCTGAATGGCCAATAGCTAGGCAGGAGAGGTTGGGCGAGACATCCAGAGACACAGAGGACTCTGAGAAGATAGAATATATATTAGTATAAATGGGTTAGTTTAAGTAATAAGAGCTTCTTAAGAACAAGCCTAAGCTACAGGCTGAGCCTTCATAATTAATAAGAAGTCTCACATTATTCAGGAGCTATCTGGTGGGACAGAAAGACTCATTACAACCAGCTGCATGAAATGGTAATGAATAACATATAAAAGCAGACCTATTAGAACTAGTGGTTCTCAACTTTCGAAACGTTGTGACCCTTTAATACACTTCCTCATCTTGTGGTGACCCACAACCATAAAATTATTTCATTGCTACTTCTTAACTGTAATTTTACTACTGTTATAAATCATAATATAAATATTTAACATGCAGGATATCTGATATGTGACACCGCCTCCCAAAGGCCATGACCCATAGGTTGAGAAACATTGCTGTATTAGAATAAGACCTGAGTTTTCAATGAAGATTCTGAAGCCCAGAAGGGCCTAGACAGATGTTCTACAGATTCTAAAAGACCACAGAATACTATACCCAGGAAAACTATCAATCACCAGGGATGGAAAAAGAAGAACATTCCAAGATCAAACTAAAGTTAAGCAGTATTATCTATAAATCCAGCTCTTCAAGCACTCAAGCACTAGAAAGAATTATGTCAACCTAAACAGACTAACAACCAAGAACACACAAGGAATAAATAATACCAGACCAGCAAATCAAATAGGGAAGACACATTATAACAACAAAAGAGTAGGGATCAAGAAACACTGCTCATTCATAATTCTCAATGTAGATGACCTCAATTATACAATAAAAAGACAAACACTAACAGAATGGATATGAAAACAGGATCCATTCTTCAGATGCATCCAAGAAACACAACTCAACATCAAGGACAGACAGCACCTCAGGATAAAAGGATGGAAAAAGATTCTAAGCAAATGGACCTCCATACCATATAGTATTTGAAATCTTAGCTAGAGCAATAAGACAACTAAAGGGGGTCCAAGGGGATATAGATTCCAAAGGAAGAATCAAAGTATCTTTATTTACAGATGAAATGATAGTAGATTTATGTGACCTAAGAATTCTACAGGGAACTCCTACAGCTATCAAACACTTAGCCTTCCTATAGACAAATGACAAACGGACTGAAAAAGAAATCAGAGAAGCAATACCTTTCACAATAACCTAAAAATAAATAAATGAAATATATTGTTGTAGCTCTAACCAAGCAAGTGGAAAACATGTATAATAAAAACTTTAAGGCACTGAGGAAAAAAAATTGAAGATGATATTAGAAAATAGAAAGATCTCCCATGCTCGTGGATCAGCAAAATTAAGAGTAAAAAATAGCCATCCTACCAAACGCAATCTACAGATTGAACACAATCCCCATCAAGATCCCAACACAATTCTTCACAGAAGTTGAAAGAACAATTTTCAGATTCATATGGAAATATACACACAAAAACAGAATAATTGAACAATCCTGAATAATAAAAGACCTGCAGGACTACAAATTTTACTACAGATCTACAGTAATAAAAAACACATGGGCCGGGCAATGGTAGCGCACGCCTTTAATCCCAGCACGCGGGAGGCAGAGGCAGGTGGATCTCTGTGAGTTCGAGACCAGCCTGGTCTAAAAGAGCTAGTTCCAGGACAGGCTCCAAAACCACAGAGAAACCCTGTCTTGAAAAACCAAAAAAACAAAACAAAAAACAAAAAACAAAAAAATACCATGGTATGAGCATAAAAACAAACATGGTGATCAATGGAACTGAACCGAAGATCCAGACATAAATCCAGCAAATATATGGATACCTGATTTTTTACAAAGAAGCCACACATATATACTGGGGGAAAAAGACAACATCTTCAACAAATGGTACTGGTCAAACCGGAGGCTGCATGGAGAAGAATATTAGACAGGCTCATACTTATCACCCTGAACAAAACTCAAATCCAAATAGATCAACAACCTCAATACACGGCCAGATACATGAATCTGATAGAAGAGAAAGTGGGAACAGCCCTGAACTCATTGGCACAGGAAAATACTTTCTGAAAAGAACACTGATAGAACAGGCACTATGATTAACAATTAATAAATGAGACCTCATGAAACTGAAAAGCTTCTGTAAGGCAAAGGTCACTGTCATTTGGACAAAGCAGCAGCCTACAGAATGGGGAAAGAATTTTACCAAGCACATATCTGATAGAGAGCCAATACCCAATATATATTAGATAAATAAAATCATAAAATTCTCAGATAAATGAGTGGGACTAGGAAAAAGAATCATCCTGAGTGAGATAATGCAGACCCAGAAAGGCAAATATGGTATGCATTCATATAGAAAAAGACGTTAACTGTTAGCCCTTAGATAGGCAAGCTACGGGAAGGATATCTCAAGGAAGGGGACATGGAATACATAATTATGAATGGAGGGAGGGAATCGGGGATGGAGAGAGACTGGAATAGGAGGATTCAGGGAGAGGAGAAGAAGGAAGTAAGGGAGGGAATACAGAGAGGAACAGCTAACACTAAGAAACACTGAGGGAGCCATATGGAAACCAACTACAGTAGAAGCTTCTTAAAATATATACATACGTAAAAAGAAATCTAATGGGGAGACAATGCCTCAACCAGACATTTCTAGCTACCAAGTAAAACCTCAGCACCAAGAATCCATTACACTCAATCAAGTAGTTAGACACAGAAAGGAGACCCCCAAGAAATCTCCACACAACTCAGGCTATTGCCAATAAGGCTACTGGTGGCTCGCCACAAACTGATGGTAAGGCCCTATTACTGAAGACAACCCCAACATGTCTCATTGATCATGAGAAGTCGAGCTTATGCTTATGTAGAGCCTTTCTGTATCTTGCTAACTAATGTTCACGGTATTGGAAGGTCCTCTGCATGCCACCAACCCAAACAAACCCTTCCATCTATGATGACCTGACTTCATGATACCAGGTGCAATAGTGGCATAAAATTGTAACCAACTACTATCTGGTTAGATTTAAGGCCCATTACATGAGATGAAACCCATGCCTGATACTGTTTAGGGGTCCAAGAACCTGAGAATAGCTAGGCCATGGACCTAGGGGAAAACCAAACACTGTTGACTATTGAGCCAGACAGTGGTGGCGCATACCTTTAATCCCAGCACTTGGGAGGCAGAGGCAGGCAGATCTCTGTGTGTTCGAGACAGTCTGGACTATAAAGCGAGTTTCAGGATAGCAAGAGATGAAGAAAGAAACCTTGTCTTAAAAAAGAAAGAAAAGAAAAGAAGGAAGAGAGGGAGGGAGGGGGGATAGGAAGGGAAGGAAGTGGAGGGAGGGAGAGAGAGAGAGAGAGAGAGAGAGAAAGAAAAGTTAGCAATAAAATAACTCCTGAGGACATTCTGCCATACTCTTAGATCAGTGTCTCAGTCAATCAACATCAAGAAGCTTTCTCCTGCAGGAATTGGGAACAAATATAGAAACTTACAACAGAACAATGTGCAGAGGGTCACCATCTTGGTTATGGTGAGCATTAAAAAAATGCTTTTTATTTAAATCCAATGTCTTTTTCTTCTTTTGAATGTATATGTATGTGTACTATGTATGTATGTATGAACCTATGTGTGAAAGCCCACGGCTGATGCTAGATGTCTTCCTCAATTGTAAGCTATCATATATGTGTGTGTATGTATATACAGAGAGATAGATAGACAGACAGAGAGATAGATACGTGGAGGATAGATGGATAGATAGATAGATAGATAGATAGATAGATAGGTGATAGAGTTTTCTTCTTCTGTGGGAACTAAGGGTTCAAACCTAGGATGTCAGGCTTGGTTGCAAGCACCCTTACCTGTTGAACCACCTCACCAGCCCTCCATCTTACATACTGAGTTAGGATCCCTCACTTAATTCAGTAGATGGCCAACTTGCTCTGGGGATCCCTGTCTCTACTTTCCAAGGCTGGGATTACAGGTGGGTCATCACACAGCCAGGCAGTTACATGGGTCCTTGGAATCCAAATCCTGCTTTATCTGGTGGGTCATCTCTCCAGTCCTAAAGTCAATGTCTTTTAAACAAAAGTCTTGACAGAAACCACCAGTCCCTAAATCATTCTTGAAAAACTGAAATGGATAAACAGAACAATGTTTCTTTCTCCAATCTTCCTGTTGAACCTCCTCCCACCCTCAAAATGAAAAAAATAAAATAAAAAATAAAGTTCCATTCAACACAGAGACTGATTTATAGAGGTCTATTTGGGCCAACAATACTTGTTGTTTCATTTCTTTGGGTTTTTTTTTTCAATTTATTTAATAAAAAATGAGCAAAACAAAACATATTGTACTTTTAGGTTTCATAAACACTAAAAAAATTCACAGGAGCTAAAATAAAAATTGTTTTCCTTCTTACCCTTTCCACCCAGGGAAATAAAATTTCCCACCAAAATCAAAACACTCTTTTGCTCGCTCACTTGGCCAGCGCCCAAGTCTGAGAGGAAGAATTTTGACGTCAGCAGGTCAGCTCAAGGCCTTGCAATGTGCGTCTGTTTCTGATTTGGTTTTCTGTTCTTTGCTGGACATCCCCCACCCCACCTCCCTTCTTTTGAACCCAAACACCAAAAACACAAAAGAGATTTAAAACAACAACTTGGTGAAAGTCCCAGACGCTAAAATATCTCATCCACAAAGTTGAAGCCTTGAACAAAGCATCTGGGTGTATATAGGAAGCCTGACTCATCACCAAGGAGAGAAGTCCTGTTTCTCACCCAGGTGGTAGGAAATGGCTTGATGGTGCTGACCGTGGAAGGACAGTCAAGCTCTGGGAACAGTGTAGGCGTAAGGCTCCCCTCCCTAAGACAGAGTGTTCCCAGGTTGTGTTGGGGTCAAGTGGGGTAGGATATGGACAACATAGCTACCTTCCTGGTGTAACAGTTATTCGCTGAGCCAGGAAGGAGGGCGAAGGTGAAATGAAAGAATCCCATCTTCAACTGTAAGCATGGCACTCAGAAACAGGGTGTTCATGAAGAGGAGCATTTCCTTCTGATCAAGCCCATGACCAAACCCCAGGACACAGTATTAAAGAAAATAAAACAAACAAAAAAAAAAAAAACCACTACTGAGAGCTGGTAGATCACTCAGTTGGCAAAATACTTGCTGTGCAAGCATGAGGATGTAGGTTTGCTTTCCCAGCACCCAGAAAGCCAGGACGGAAGTCACGCCTATAATGCCAGCACTGGAGAAGCAGACACAGGAGTATTCCAAGCTCTAGAGCCAGTGAGAGACCTTTTCTTAACAGGAGAGCTAAAGCTGGATTAAATTAAAATCAAAGTGGGAGCTGGAGACATGGCTCAGTGGTCCAGAGAACTTGCTGCTCTTGAGGTCCTGAGTTCAATTCCCAACACCCACTCGGAGGGCTGCAGTCACCTGTAACTTCAGCTCAAAGATAACTGATGCCCTCTACCGGCCTCCCCAGACACCCCCATGTGCATATAGACACTACACATATGCACATATACATGAATAAAAGTAAAATATTTAAAAACAACTAAGAAGGAGGACAGTAACTGAAGAAAACATCCAACGTCAACCACTGATACACACACACACACATACAAGCATGCACATGTGTACACACACATGTATCCATCTGCACAGGTATGTCCACACACAGGTATGTCCACACACATGAACACATACACACATATACATACACATGCCCACCTGCACACAATGCCAACACACATGAACACAAACACATACATGTGCATATGCCCTCCTGCACACCCAGGTTCCTACATGTGTGCACTCTTGTACACATGTATGCATGCTTGCACATGTCCATCTGCACATGCACATGTACACACACACGAACACATACATATACACACATGCAGTATTTAAAAGATATAAGTGGTGGTAACTGCATTCTTAGCCAGCGCACTCTGGTTTAGCATGGTTGGAACTGATAAGGCTTCATCATCGGTTCTAAACAGCAGTTAACAGCATTCTGTGGTTTTCTTGAAGGTGGTATATGTTTCTTTCTTTTGAGACAGGGTTCTAAATAGCTCATGCTGGCCTTGAACTCACTATATAGCCAAGGATGACCCTGAACATCTGCTCCTCCTGCCTCTACCTCCCAAATGCTAGGATCACCGGTGTGTACCTCCAGGCCTGATAAATTCGGTGCTGAGGATGCATCTTAGCCAAAGAGCCCTCTTTTAACAGCTTTAACTACATCGCCAGCTTCCATCCAGCTACTTCCCTGGACCCACGCACAGGACTCACTTGCTGGAATTCATTGTATAGCCAGAAGGACACTCCGGGATGCACTTGTTGTTGTGAATGACGTATTGGTGACAGCCAGGCTTCCTAGAGTTTCTGCATTTGTAGTGAAGGTCTTGGCAGAAGCTGAAGTTCACACAGCGCCAATCCTGGAAGTGGTAGTAAGGGGGCGGGCAGGTCTCCACACAGCGACCGTCCAGGTAGAAGTTGCGACAGGCCACACACTTGGTGGGGTCATCGGGTTCCGAACAGTTGCCTAGGCACTCCTTGTGGCAGCACAGGCCTTCAGCTGTGCAGCCATGTGACTTACAGATGGTCGGACAAACTAGAGACAAGAAGAAAAATAAAACAGCTGGTCAAGGACTCTGTCCAAGTTCTGTCTGCAAAAACTGCCAAACAAAATAATAACAATAACAGCCACAATTAAACAGCACTTGGCATGTGCCTGACTGGTCTGTGAAAAATGGCAGTAGCCCCCAAAGCAACTATGTACTTGGCAAAAGTTAAACAATCACCTGAGCAAGGGGAAGGCAAGAGGCCTAATACACAGCATTTGCCAATTACTAACTACCACCAACTTTGGGCTACTGAGAGGAAATCAAGGAACCAAGTCCTTGACAAGAGACACAATGTAACACACCGTTAAATAAAGCTTCCTATAACCATACAGTCTATGTCTATGATATATACAGTAGTAGACAATAACTTCAAGGGCACACACAAGGAGTTTGTTGGACGCCGGGCAGTGGTGGCGCACGCCTTCAATCCCAGCACTTGGGAGGCAGAGGCAGGTGGATCTCTGTGAGTTCGAGACCAGCCTGGTCTACAAGACAGCTAGTCCCAGGACAGGCTCCAAAACCACAGAGAAACCCTGTCTCGAAAAACCAAAAAAAAAAAAAAAAAAAAAAAAGGAGTTTATTGGACATATGTACAGAGCACGGGAGCTTGGGTGGCCCCAAAGCAGCAACATCACAAAAAAGCCTCATCCCAGCGTGGACGATGATGTCTCCAGGACTGCACAGATAGAGTTCTCCCCTCCATCCTCTATACACCCTAGCACTAAGACCATGAGTTCATGGGCATATACATCTGACTAGGAGGTACAGGAGAGAGCAGCTAGAATGTTGGGGTGGGGGTAATCCAGTGATCCATACCGCCCCTCATCCTATGAGAGAATATCTTATCAACAGTTTGCAGGTCTGACTGGGGGCTGAAGCAAGGGGGCAGGGGAGGTGGACGAAACAGTTTATTGTAGGTAGTCACAGCTACTCTAATGAAGTTGACCTGTTAAGCTCAGAGGACAGCACCCTGAAACACCTCCCCCAGTCCCTTCCCAGCTATTATGAGTCCAGAAATACAGAAGGCAAAGCCAAGCAGGGCCAACTGTGCCAACGTTATCATCCGGCTCTGTCTAGGGAGATCTGAGGGCTGAAATTCAATTGGAGGAAGCAATAATTCAAGCAGGCGATTATCTTAGGCTCACAAAGACATGGACTCTCCCATACAACACACATAAGAGCAGGAAGAAGCCCATTTCCTGGGCCAGGGCTGCAGCTGAGGGTCAGCCTTTTTCATTCACAAGAAGCTTCATCAAAGCCCTAATAAACACTTCCCAAACACATAAGCTCGGCAGCCCACACAATACTAAAAGCAGCCAATGGTTGCAAACAAAGCCAGGGGCAGACAGCCAGGCACTTCAATCTTGCACTTTGCACTGCAGGATTCCATTTATAGGACATCCGGGAAGAGGGAAAGAAAACATCGTGACAAGGCAGGCACAGCTCACTGGCTATCAGAGTCTGGAGCTGGGGAGGATCGGGCTGTAGAGGCACCAGGGAACTGGGGGTAAGGGAGGGGCATAGTCAAATCACTCTTTCGCTTTTAAATTTTATTTATTCATGTATTTGGGGGCGGGGGTGCACCTGCAGGGACCAGAGGAAGGGCTCTAGGAGCCATCTTCTTTTCTTTTACTATTTACTTGTTGAAAAATTCATCTTGGACACAGTGTATCTTGATCATACTTATCATCCAACACTCCCCACCAACGCCCCTCAGAATCCCTCCCTCATCATATACATCTCCTTCCCAATTTTATGGCCTCTATTTTAAGCTTATTATTTATTTATTAACCCATTAAAGGCCTATTCCTTTGAGACCTTGGAGCTAGGCTAGAAACCAGCAAGCCCCAGGGCCACTCCATAGCACTGGGGTTCCAGGCTGGCATATGGCCACTGCCTGCTTTTTCTCTAAGTGCTAGGGATTACAAAGGCAGATCTCACGCTTGGGCAGCAAGTGCTTTTACCCACTGAGTCATCTCTCCAGTCCTCAATCTCTATCTTGTCTCTTTCTTTTGGTGTTGGTGACTGATGAACCTACAGGTTGCGCCAGAGCTGGTGGTAACCGGTGCCTGGGACAGGACTCCAGAGGGAGACATACTCTGAGAAGTTGGCAGGTCAGTACTAAGTAACAGATACAGAGTTGCGAGACACAGCAGGGTGACTACAGATAACAACAGTGGCTGCCCATTTGGAAAAGCAACAAGGAAGGAATGACTACAAAGGGGAGAAATAGATTGGGGGGACTAATAAGCCCACCCCATCCCAGGCCGAGGGGCAGCTGATGACTGCTGGGGGTAGGGGAAGGATTCGTTTGGCTTTGATTGCTTTTGTTTTTGTTTTCAGGTTGTAGCCAGGAAATGCCCAGGTTCCAATGGAGAGGCCCCACGTTCATGCACATAACGGCAGCACTTAATGGACTCTGTGCATTTAAAACAGAGGATATGGAATTTGAAGGAACACATGGGGAGGAATCGGGGGTGAATATAACTAAACTACGTTTTAAAATGAATGAAATTCTCAAAGAATAAGTAAAAACAATTTATGATGGAGAAAGGTTTGAGGAGAAATAGTTTGGCTTGGTCTGCTGGGTTTGGTTTTATTTTCCTTGCAGTGCTGAGGATGAACAGCAGGGCCCCTACCTACTAAGCTAGTGTTTTAGCCCAAGGAGCTAAGTGTCGGACCCCAACTCACAGTAAACTGTGTGCAGGCTCCCGATCCAAAGGGACACAAGAGGGCCTGCCTGGTATCCCAGGGCTGGTAGGCTAAGGAGTGAAAGGCCTGCCTCAGCCCATATGAAAACCTGCCTCAAAAAAGAGTTTTATAAAGGTTCTTTTGTGAGCACTCTTTTTACTACAAACTCAGTTCAAGAGCCAGAGGGTGTACCCGAAAAATAGCTGTGTTCTTCCATGCACCACTTAGTAAACTGTTGTGATGTCATTCAACAAACACACATCAAACCCACAGCATGCTGAGTGTTGTCATACACATCTGAGGAAAACAAGCGGTTTTCCTTCTATTGAGCAAGGGGAGACCACAGGTGGTACAGCAATGCCACCCCTGACCTCCAGAAGAAACAAGGCCCAGGTGTTCTCCCATTGCCCACACCTGCTACTGCAGGACACAGGCTTGGGCTGGGGAGGGGGGAGTGAAAATCTTGTGGGTGGGGGCAGGGGAACCTATGGCTAAGCTGGTAAAAATTCACTATGCAGAGTCCTGGGCTCCAAAGAGGTTGCCTGACTGCAATCTCAGCACTCTAGGGGCTAAGTCAGGAAGATCAAGGTCAACCTTGGCTACAAAGTAAGTTGGAAGCTAGCCTGGACTATATGAAAACAGAGAAAAGGAACCAGAGGAGGAGAGAGGAGGGAGGAAGAGAAACAGGGCTGCGGGAGGATGAAAAGGAGAAGAAAAGGAGGTGAGTGAAGAGAAGAGAGGGAAGAAGGAGGAGGAGAAAAAGAAAGTCTTGGAGTGCAAGCCAGTAGCCAGGGTGTGCAGGTCATTTTCCTTTGCTTATTGTCAACTTGACACAAGTTAGGGTTATCTGTGCAGGGGGACCTCAACTAAGAAAATCTTCCACCATCAGACTGGCCTGTGGGCGAGCCTGTGGGGCATTTTCTTAAATAAGGATTGACAGAAGGGGACACGAGGGCCTTTTTGCTCCCTGTAGGGACAGACCTCTACCTAACTCCCCAAAACGATTATCCCAACTCTTCTCTCCCTAGTCTGTTACCCACCCTTAGGGGAGATGTCACTTGTATTTGATGGTCTGCTGGCCTCTAGTCTATTGGTCTGAGATAACCTAGATTCTAGGCCTTTTCATTTGAAACTGCCCTCATGGTCATGTGCACTTTGTAAAGGAGTCTGTGTCTTTATGTAGTCACCTGAGGTTTACTGTGCACGTGGAATTGGACTGATTGTTCCATGGAAACCTTTTCCCAAAGGTTTTAAATTCTTAAGTATGTTTTAAATATACTGACAATGAACCATCTGACATCAGACTGCCTGAAGTCTGATCCAGGTTAAGTCAATCTGCCCTAGGTTTTCATTCTCATCTTTTCTTGAGGTTTGCTTTGTCTGACACCTGCAGGGTCTCCCCCACCCCACCCAGCCACTGTGGGCAGTGTCCTCCCTGGGCACACAATCCTGGGTATAAGAAAGCAGGTTAAGCCGGGCGGTGGTGGTGCATGCCTTTAATCCCAGCACTCGGGAGGCAGAAGCAGGCAGATCTCTGGGAGTTCGAGGCCAGCCTGGTCTAAAAGAGCTAGTTCCAGGACAGGAACCAAAAAGCTACGGAGAAACCCTGTCTCGAAAATCAAAAAAAAAAAAAAAAAAAAAAAAAAAAAAAAAGAAAGAAAGCAGGTTAAACAAGCTGGTAATCAGAACTTGATCTATTATTTCAGCTCCTCCTTTAGGTCCCTGCCTTCACTTGGAAGCATAACCAGAAAAAAATCCTTTCCTCCCCAAGTTGCTTTCGGTCATGGTGTCTCTGGTAGTTTGAATGTGACTGGCCCCATAAGCTCATAAGGTGTGGCACTATTAGGAGGTATAGCTTTGTTGGAGTAGATGTGATCTTGTTGGAGGAAGTGTGTTACTGTGGGGGAGGGCTTTGAAGTCTCCTATACTCAAGCTACCCCCAGTGTCTCAGACCACTTCCTATTTTGTGGACTTATAGGACTCTCAGCTCCTTCTCCAGGACCATGGCTGCCTGCGTGCCACCATGTCACACTATGTTGATATCAGACTATGAAACTGTAAGCCACCAAATTAAATATTTTCCTTTATATGGTCATGGTGTCTCTTCACAGCAATAGAACCATTAAGACAGTGTCCATCACAACAACCGAAACCAAAGTAATAAAAAGAGTAAATTTTGTTGCATGAATTCTTTATCCTGCATGTGTCTTGTGATTGCAAGATCCTCTTCTTAATGACTCCAGTCAAAAATGTTTCAAATAGCTTTGCCAGTAACATTGAGATAACCCAGCACTGACCTCTGAATAGGGTGTGTTGGGAAAAGAATAGTATTTGCATATTTTTTTCTCCAAACAATAACAATTCATCTTAGAAACAGTCTATAAAACAACTGCCCAGTCCAATGTTCTTCAAACATGTCACTGTTGTACAAAGAAAAACAAACAAACAAATAAACAGACAGACGCCACTAAGATGCCTCAGCCAGTACAGGTGCTTGCTGCCAAGCCTGACAATGTGAGTTCAATCCCTGAGACCCGCATAGTGGAAGACTGAACTGAGCCTGGCTCTCAAAAGTCATCCTCTGACCTCCACGAGCTCCCCCTGGCATATTCATTCCCTCTCAACACAAACAAACAAATGTGATAAAGTAATAAGTAAATAAACTGAAGAGCTGTACAGACAAAAGAAAACTAGAGGGAGACTGCTCCGAAATGGGAAGTGCTGTTTGGACCAGGAAGAAAAACACTCCAACAAAGAGCACTATTGGAACGGTCGGTGAGATGTTAAACTTTTATATAGTGTGGGAAGGCGCAGTCAGAACGGCGGAGTCAGTTCTGTCCCCCATCATGTGGGCTGGGTTCGCAGACTTTTATGGCCGGCACCTTTACTGGTTGAGCCACCACAACAGCTCCAAATGATGAGACTTTTCCAAGAGGATTAACATATTCTACTAGTGTTGGGTTCCTGGTTCTGGTCACTGTACTACTGTGTAAGGAATTTTTTTTTTTGTTAGGAAACCCACTGAAGAAGTAAGGAACATGATTATTGTTACAGACTCCAATGATGAAGAAAAAAAAGTCTACAATTCTCGCATAGGAATAGATTACAGAAATAAAAAACAGACAGGGTAAAAATATCAGTAACTGACTAACAGTAATCCAATTCCTACAACTTTTCTTTAAGTCCAAAACTGCATCAGCAGACAGCAAGATGGCTCAACAGGCAGAGGCTCTCCTGCCACACCTGAGGACCCAAGTTAAGCCCTGGGACTCACATGGCAGTACAGCAAAAACCAACTTCTGCATAGCTGTCCTCCGAACTCTGACCTCTACACACATATACACACAAGGAATAAATATTTTTAACTGCATCAAAAAGAACAATCCATTTGTCCAATGGCAGGTTAAATGCTACTATGGCAGAGGACCAGCTGTGCATTGTAAATAAATAACTAGTCCACAGAAATGCAGCGTTGCGCCCCCCTCCCTTTGCTTCTCAAGCTTTAAACCGTTTGCCCTTTCTTGACAAACTACACACGTGAAATGAAACACGGAAACCACTATTTTAGTGTCTTCACAACACTGCACACATTAATAACACTTTATGACATTTCTTCCCAAAGCCTGCCGCTTAAATACACACACACACACACACACACACACTCCTAAACACCATTGCTTTCCAGAAATTTCCAAACAGGAACAGTTGCATCATGGGCCTGAGGGCACAGTCGCAGTCAGGACCTCTCAGCCCTCCTGCCCTCATTGTGAATTTTAGAACTCAGGACCGCGAGGGGTGTACCCACACACTGAGACAATGGGGATGTTCTATTGGGAACTCACCAAGGCCAGCTGGCCTGGGTCTGAAAAAGCCTGGGATAAAACCGGACTCGCTGAACATAGCGGTCAATGAGGACTGCTGAGAACTCAAGAACAATGGCAATGGGTTTTTGATCCTACTGCACGTACTGGCTTTGTGGGAGCCTAGGCAGTTTGGATGCTCACCTTACTAGACCTGGATGGAGGTGGGTGGTCCTTGGACTTCCCACAGGGCAGGGAACCCTGATTGCTCTTCGGGCTGATGAGGGAGGGGGACTTGATTGGGGGAGGGGGAGGGAAATGGGAGGCGGTGGCGGGGAGGAGGCAGAAATCTTTAATTAATTAATTAATAAACAAACAAACAAACAAACAAGCTCCTTATAGTCATGTCTTTGGTTTCCATTCCAGACCTTTCTCTCCTGGGTCCCTGTTCTCTGAAGTTTGAGTACCGCAAGTCAAATTCCTACTACTTGGAAATTAATAAATGATTTAATGGTGGTATATGGTGGGGCAGGATCCTGAACTTTGACAGTTTTGTGGTCAACACTAAACCCTCACTGAGCACGCGACTTTGAAACTGGAAGGCGTTCCTTTTCCATACCAGGACAATAGGGGCAGGGTAGGCGCACGCGCGCTGGAGACAGCTTTGCTTCTCTGCGCAGCTCTCCAGAGACACACGGTGCTTGTAGACGCGGCGGGGGCTGGGGGGTGTCTGTGTGCGCACCTAGGAGTTCAGAGACAACAACAACCTCAGTCCGCAACCGAGAGTATGCAAACGAAGGGTGCGGCCTGGCTACTCGGAGCCCCACCCCCCGTGAACGGCGCCGGCAGAACGACACAAAAGCGTGCAGCACTCCGGCTCCGCTGAATTCCAGGTCGGCTGATGGCGACTGCAGCGCCGCCCTCCGGCTCAGCCAATGGGCGGGCGGGCTGCGGGCTGCTGGCTCCGCCACCCGAAGTGCGCGGGGG